CAGCCGGGGCAAATAGTTCATGAGACCCCCCATCTCCAGCATTACCAAAGCAAGACGGAGTGGAGGTGTGGCTCAAGCAGTAGAGCACCTGCTCTGCTGGCACAAAGCCCTGAGTTCAAATCCCAGCCCCACCAAAACAGACAAACAAAAAACCCCAAAATCATTGGATGTAACAAACTCAACTTACATAAATTTTTAATGCAGAATAACTTCTAAAACAAAAATTCTGTCGACATTCTGTGGCATTTTGTTTTGTTTTGCAAATCTCTGTAATGGCTGGCTTAAGACAACTTGATTCTTTCATCAGCTTCTGTACTTCATCCATAGTGATAAGTTGATTTGTTGAAGTTTATGAAGAAGATTGGCCTTACACAGATCTATAGGAAACAAAAGGAGTATTTTAAGAGCATTTCCAGATAATTAGGGAGTTTCTTCATTGATATTACTCCGCAACTTGATAGGTTGTGATTTAGTATAGACAGACTCTGAAACAATAAGAAATTAATTTTTATCATTACATAAAAATCCATTGTTCTGATTTGTGCTTTGTATGAGTCCTTTATGCATGCATTATTGATGGAAAATATTGATTTGCTGAGTTTGAGACCATTTCAATATAAAATGTTAAAAAAAATTACATCTGTTAATACTATCACAAGTCATTAATATTAGGAAGATGTCAAACACACAGTGAGGATATATTTTCCAATTTTTTTCTGTAGTATTGGGATTTGAACTGAGGACCTTGAGCTTGCTAGGGAGGTGCTCTACCACTTGAGCTAAGTCATCATCCTCCAATTTTTTGGTAGTACTGGAGTTTGAACTCAGCACTTTATCCCCAAATTCTTCTCTCGTTCTGTCATTTCTTTTCTTTTTCTTTCTTTCTGTCTTTTTTTTTTTTTTTGGTGGTGGTACTGGGGTTTGAACTCATGACTAGGCAGGCACTCTACCACTTGAGTCACTCTGCCAGTCCTTTTTTATATTAGGTTTTTTTGAGATAGGGTCTCTTGAACTGTTTGCCTGGGCTTGCTTGGAACTGTGATCCTCCTGCTCTTTGCCTCCTAGTAGCTGGGAGTATAGGCGTGAGGACTGGTGCCCAGCTCATTCTGTCATTTCTATCATTGTCAACAGTAGTTGTTTTCTTTAGGTGACAGGCTCGTGTAGTCATGTTGGAGAAAAATTCTGTTGAGCACCAGGATTGGGTCGCTACAGTTAGTTATTCTTGCTAACAGAAATGGTGCTCTGTGAGAGCAGAGCTGTCTGAGCTCATGCCTCAGTTTCACAAGTGATTTTCTCTGAGACGGTCTTTGCACAGCAGTGTACAGCAGCAGAAGGCTTTCATGTGTACCTCCCATTAAGTGTTTCCTCACGTTCTTAAATGAAAGTGCCTCCCCAAGCATGTCTCTTGAAATACTGAAAAGGACAGTTTGGATCCACTGCTGAGAGACAGCACCTACAGTTTTCATCCAGCAGTGCTTGTGTGCCTCAGTGCAAATGCCAACATACCGAAAAAAGAAAATAGTATCTTAGTGTCATTGTTATTTGAGCCCCGAAAAGTGCCATGGGGTGCAGGGGCCACATTTTGAGAACCAGTATATTCTAGTGGTGAAAGTCAGGCTTGGCAGTATGATACATTTCTGTGTCGTGACTACTTTTTTCCTCTGATACTGGTTTTCTGATGCTGGGGATAGAACCCAGGGGTCTTTTACATGCTAAGCAAGTGCTCTACGACTAAGTTACACCCGCTTCTCATCCGCAGCTTTGTAAGCTTAATCATTTTTAAAATCCCTCTACTCAGAGGTAATACTTTTGAGTCACACTAACAAATTTAGAAATTGTATATTATAAGATATAACTTTGTCGGGTACCATTGGCTCATACTTGTAATTCTGCCTACTTAGGAGGATCATGGTTTGAGGCCAGTGCAGGCAAAAAAAAGTTTCTGAGACCGTATCTCAATCAATAAATAGTTGGATGTAGTAGCATGTGCCTGTCATCTTTACTATAGCAGGAAGTGTAAATAGGAGGACTGTAGTCCAGGCCAGCCTGGGCAAAAAGTAACACCCTGTCTCAAAAATAACCAGAGTAAAAAGGGATGAAAGTATGGCTCAAGCAGCAGAGTATCTACCTAGTAAGTATGAAGCCCTGAGTTCAAACCCCAGTAACACCAGAAAAATTACATATATATATTATTAATTATATGTTTATGTACATAAAACTTTGTGTATTTATGAGGGAAATGCCCCAAACATACTTGGAACATTGTTCTGAACTTTTTTTGTGTGTGATGGTGCTTGGGTTTGAACTTCCTGCCTCACACCTGCTAGGCAGGTGTCTACCACCTGAACCACTCTACCAGCTCTGTTTTGTGTTGGGTATTTTCAAGATAGTGTCTCTTGAACTATTTTTCAGGGCTGGCTTCAAACTGCAATCCTCCTGATCTCTACCTCCTGAGTAGCTAGGATTACAAGGGTGAGCCACTGATACCTGGCTGCCCTGAATGTTTGATGCCTATTTTTATCCAGCCAAGCCATCTCAACACACCTTTTCCACAGTGGCTGTGTGCCTGCTCCCCTGACTCCTTGTGGTGCTTTTCTAGAGAACTTTTTCCGGTATCAGTGAAATAAACATGTTCTTTTTAGCCTCATTTTTCCAGACTTAGGGACTGTACCCTCTTTTAGTGTGGCAGTACATCACCTTTTTCCATTTTGGTGTATCTTCATGTTTAAATTTTTTAAATGATATATACACAGTAAGTGAGGGTCAGTATATATGTATGTAAGAATGTGCAGTTTAACAAGATCCTCAAGAGATTTGTATGCACACAAAAGACAATAAACAAATAACCGTGTACACCTCATGAGTTTAATAAGTCGAACATGATCAGTACTGTTGAATTTCAGTGGTGTTCTTATGAGTATTATAAAACAGTATTATTTGGCTTGTTAAATTCCAGATTCGTTGTGTTTACGTTACTTTCTGCGTGAACTAATTTTCATTACAGTATAAGACAAGTAGCTTATCATTTCACGCTGTAACCACTAGGTTGACTGTCTAGTGAGCCAATTCTTCATCTCCTTTCCTCCCTGACTAACTCCGCCTTCTGTAGTGGGGTCCACGAGCATGAACTCCTCTGTGTATCCCACCTCTTCTCCAGGCATTCTCTTTCCCTCCTTGCCTTGCTTAGAACTTGGGTGGTGCGTGGTGTGTGAGACACTGCTTCCCCCAGCCCTCCAGGGGCTCCCTTGGGGCCAAGAGACCACGGCAGCTGTCCATGCTGGCCTCCTTTGATGCTTTGAACTACTCCTGCTACTTCTTCCTTCAGGAACTCAAGCTTCTTTTACACTCTCTCACCTGATACCCCTCTTGGATCTGATACCACTGGCCTGGCTGTCCCCGCCATTTCTTTTAACTTTTGCTTTCTCCCCACTGTCAACAATGTAGACTTCAACAGAACTGCCAGTAATCCTTTTAGCACTCAGGTCTCTGAGTTCTGTCTCCAGGATCAAAGGCTTCAACCGTCTCTTGTCCTTTAACCCTTGCTACTTAGGGGGTAAGGTGGTCATCAAAATGGCAACAGTACTGTCCCTTGGGAGTGTTCAAAATAGAATGTTCAGTTAGGGGAGCCCTGGGAGGATGTGTGCATGTGGAATACCAGTGTCTTCATTATAGCAGTTCTTCATCCTGATTGAGCCTCTCCCATTGACCTCACACTGTTCACGGTTCACTCCAACCTGTCTGTACTTCCCTCTTTACCTGTCTCAGATGCCCTATCCTTCTGTGGACTTTCTGAGTCAGGGTCTGGCTTTGTGGCCCAGACTAACCTGGAACTCTTATTGCCTAGGTTAGCCTCAAACCCATGATAATCCCAAGTTAGCCTCCCCAGCGCTGGGATTACAAGCAAGAGGCACCATGCCTGACTCTATCACATTTTTAACTACCCCTTTAAGATCATCTTCTCCTTGCTTTTCCTTCATTGGGCAATATTAGTGTTTGAACTCAGAACCTCAAACTTGCTAGACAGGCACTCTGCCAGTTGAACCACACCCTCAGTCCATTTTTGCTTTAGTTTTTTGGCTTTTTAATATGGTTTTGAGTTTTTGCCTAGGGCTGGCCTCCAACTACTATCCTCCTACCTATGCCTCCCAAGTAGCTGGGATTGCAGGTATATACTAGTGTATCTGACTCTTTAACTGGTAAATTTTGGATTGTGGTTTAATTTAGCTAGCTGTTATCTTTGTACCTGAGCAGAAACTTGATACTAGATATTAGAAGGAAAAGCAGAGGGAGACTAGTTTTACTTTAAACCCATGATCACAAACTTTATTCAACACTTGCTGGTTCTGAGTTTCCCCAGTAAGCTCCCGCTTCTATCAAAGAGCAATACTTTGTGTGTTTTGTATTCTGGGCTTCTTCCTCCTTTGGACCCCAGTGAGAATAGCATAATGCCTTTTCCTAGTAGTTTCTCAGGAAACTTTTTTTTTTCTTTTTTTTTTTTTTGGTGGTACTGAGCTTTGAACTCAGGGCCTCTTGCTTGCTAGTCAGGCGCTCTTACCATTCAAGCCACTCCACCAGCCCTTTTTCTGTGATTGGCTTTTTCAAGATAGGATCTCAAGAACTATTTGCTATGGGCTACCTTCCAACCAAGACCCTCCTGATCTCTGCCTCCTGTGCAGCTAGGATTACAGGCATGAGCCACTGGCTGTCTTTTTAAATCCAGAGTTTTCTAGGTTCCTAGGTTCACTGTAGAACTGTGGAAGTGGCTTATCATAATATATAAGGAAAAGTTCAGACTGTGGAGTTATTTATTTAAGATGATGGCCTCTTGCTATGTTGCCCACGACTCAAGTGTTCCTCCTGCCTTTGCCTCCCAAGTAGCTGGGATGCCTATAGGCGTGTGCCACTTTACCCAGATGAAACCTACTACTTTAGTAATAACTATTGTTCCTGTTTTCTTTCTGCCATAGATCTAAAATCTTTTGAAATGTTTCTCTTTGCAGATTTAATCCAGCGACTAACTTCACTGTAGAAACACCAACATTTGTATTGATGATTGGGGAAAGATAGTGGCAACAGGAAAAGGAAACACAGCTCTGACACACCGAGAAAATGAGTATGCTAAAACCAAGTGGGCTTAAGGCCCCTACCAAGATCCTTAAGCCTGGAAGCACAGCCTTGAAGACACCTGCTGCTGGTAATGCTTTGTTTTCTTCCTTTATAACAGATATATTATCCTGTATTCAGACTTCAATTCAAAATTTTAACTGAAAAAAGACAATTTTAAAAAAGTTTGTATCATTGAAAACTTTGGAAAAAAGTTTGACAGAATGATGAATTTTAATGAATGATAGAAAGTCTGTCTTTCCCTGTCCCCCTCACCTCCACATAGCTGAGGCTGGCCTTGAACTCAAGATTCTCCTATCTCAGCCTCTCCAGTGCTGGGATTATAGGTATGGGCCTCATGCCTGACTACCTGGAGAAGTCACTTTTTTGTAGGTTGTCATTTTTATTTAAATTCGGTTGTTTTCATATGAAGTATTAAAATAGTTTTCAAGTTTAATCACTTGAGTTATTTAATTCCTATAATGTTAAGGTATTTCTTTTTATTTCTCCCTCATGTGTTTCCCTGAACTCTTCAGAACCTTTCTCTAAGGAGTTTAGAGAAAACAAACACTAGTCTGGTCTAAAAGATGTTAGGACACCAGTTGCCCTGTAGTTGGTCAGTGACATCAGGAGAGCAGACAGGACAGTGGCGCAGGGCTAGCTCAATAAAGGGTGCCTTCCCTGGACATTTTATATGTGAACTCATTCAGTCTATTTAGCCTGCTATAACAAAATACTTTAGGTTGGGAATTTATAAATAACAGAAATCTATTGTTCACGTTTCTTGTGCTCCTCCTGCTTTGCGTGGTTTACTCCTACTTGTTGATTAGGCCTCCCACCAGAAGTCACCTCCAGGAGACCTTCCCTGACTGTTCTTTCCAAGTCCCTGACTCCTCTACAGCATTCTCACTACCTGCAATTGTCTAGTGTGTTGCTGTTCTGTCTTCCCATGTCTAGACTCTCATCTTTAAGAAGGCATAGACTGTGCTGTCTTACTTTGTTCTCTGGCAGAGAATGTTATCTGGACTAGTCCTAGAGAGGGTGGAGCTCACTGAGAACATGTATGGAATGAATAAATACACTATTTCACTTAATCCTCATTTTAAGAGCCTTCATGAGAGATGTTGCTGTCCCTTTACAGATGAAGAAATTAAACTCAGAGAGGTCATATCACATCCTGAGATGATGGTATGCCTAGTAAATGGTAAAATGATTAAGAATGTGCCCTTTGTCAGTTCACACTGAATATTTAATAAATATTAAATATCCTATTGGATGACTACACAGGTGAGTTTCCAGTGTGAGTATCGTGTTTCTGGCAAGCTGTAACTGCTGCCTTTATGATAGGGAAGAGATCGCACAAAGTAGAGTTGTCTTATTCAGGACATTTGGCTGTCCTTTTCTTTTTGCTGTGATTTCTACCTGTGCTATCAAATAGGGTTTATGCCATAGTATTGGAATAGTGATGGCTGGGGCTGCAGCACTGAATCCTTCTCTTCATCAAGTCTAATGAATCTCTGTGGTTAAATAGTCCCATTTTGTCAGCTTTAATTGACTACTCAAATATGGGAATACAGCCCATTTTAGTGGATCTGAATGGGCATTTGCTCATGATGTGCAAGGTGGGAGGTGGAATAAGAATGAAATCAGACCTATAAATACAGGTCTGGGAACAGGACTAATTTTTTTTCTTGCTTTGAATTCTCTAGTCTTGATTCCAAATGAAGAATAAATGTCACTTCCCAGCTCACTGAGTTTTGACAGCATTGAAAATAGTAGTGATTGATAAAATACTCTTTGCAACTTTGCTTTAAAAAAAATCATCAGAATCCTCTCAAGGATTCTGTTCAGAATCCTCGGGCTACTCCTATTGCTTTGCTTTCTGTTTTCCTTTAAGTTCAAGGATAGCTGCTTAAATATGAAATTTATCTTTTCTTTTGTTTTCAGTTGCAGCTCCAATAGAAAAAATAATATCCAGTGAAAAAGCCTCAAGCACTCTGTCCTCCGAGACTCAAGAGGAATTTGTGGATGACTTTCGAGTAGGGGAGCGAGTTTGGGTGAACGGGAATAAGCCTGGATTTATCCAATTTCTTGGGGAAACCCAGTTTGCACCAGGTCAGTGGGCTGGGATTGTTTTGGATGAACCCATAGGCAAGAATGATGGTTCGGTGGCAGGAGTTCGGTACTTTCAGTGTGAACCTTTAAAGGGCATATTTACCCGACCTTCAAAGTTAACAAGGAAAGTGCAAGCAGAAGATGAAGCCAACGGCCTGCAGACAGCTCATGTGTCTAGAGCTGCTTCACCTCTGTCCACTTCTGCAGCCATGCCCTCAAATATTCCTCATAAACCATCCCAGCTAGCAGCAAAGGAAACTTCAACCACGTCTCAGATCAGCAACCTTACGAAAACTGCTAGTGAATCAATCTCCAACCTTTCAGAGGCTGGCTCAATCAAGAAAGGAGAACGGGAGCTCAAAATTGGAGACAGAGTATTGGTGAGTTTATGTGTGTATATATTACTGTGTCCTCTTGTGCCTAGATCCTTTGTTTTTCCACTTTAACATCTGCTCTTTTTAATACAAATCTTCCTTTTAGAAATATGAAACACTGTGACTTCAAAATTAGTTAAATTAGAAATCTGAAATGTTTGATTTAGATGATTTTTTTTTTTGGTAGGACTGAGGTTTGAACTCTGGGCTTCAAACTTGCTAAGTAGGTGCTCTACTGCTTGAGCCTCACCTCCAGTCCATTTTTCTCTGGTTATTTATTTTATTTGTTTATTTTTGGCAGCACTGGGGTTTAAACTCAGGACTTCACACTTGCTAGGCAGGCACTCTACCATTTGAGCCATTCCATCAGCTCTTTTTTAGTAATGGATTTTTTCAAGATAGGGTGTTGAAAACTGTTTGCCCAATAGTAGTTTGCTAGCTTCAAACTACAATGCTCCTGATCACTTCCTGTTGAGTAGCTAAGATTATAGACATGGACCACCAGCACCCAGCTGTCTCAGCCTTCTGAGAGCTGGAATTACTCATGCGCCACCATAACTACTTCTCTCCCAAAACTGTTGATCACCCAAATCCTTAGAGAGCTAAGGTCATTAGATCATTGTAGATGAAGTCTGGTCTAAGACATTCCCCAGTGCCACCCACAGTGCCCTTAGGGTTCCTGTTATGTTGGACCATTAGACAAGCAGTTCATTCTTCCTTCTCCACACCTCTTGGCCCTATACATCTTTTGGTCCTCTTTTCAGTGCAGGGAAGGGGATTTCTGTATTAGATTTACTATTCAGCCAAGTGACCTCCACCTGATCCAAACAGAAGCTCCTGGATAAAACTGGCAGGCGCACTGGAATCTCAAGGAAGGCAGAAGGTGGTGTGGTGGCTCATTCCTATAATCCTAGCTACTTGGAAGGTAGAGATCGGAGACCTGGGATTTGAGGCCAGCCTGGGCAAAAAGTTCATGAGACCTCATCTAAACCAATAAAAGCTGGGTGTGGTGGTCCACACCTGTCATCTCAGCTATGTGTGAAGCATAAATAGGATGGAGGTCCAGCTCAGGCATAGACATCAGACCCTATCTCAAAAATAGCCAAAGCAAAGATCATTCTTGTTCTGACTCTAGAGATGACCCACTTTTAGTTTATTGAAAGTGTATTCCTTTCCTAAGTAAACTTTACTATCACTTCTGATCCTCCTGCCCCCCCACCTCCTGAGTATTGGGATTATAGGTATGTGCCACTATGCCTGGTGAGGGTTAGAGTTATAAGAGAACATCTGCTCTTGACACACTAGGGTTTTTTTGTTTGTTTGTTTGTTTGTTTGTTTGTTTTTTGTAGTTTTTGTTTGGTAGTACTGGCGTTTGAACTCAAGCATCCTAGTTTTTTAAGTGGGTTACTTACCATCACATGTTTGAGCCGCACCTCTAGCCTAGAATCAGAGGGTTTTGAACACGGTTGTCACATTGTGCTCTTGAAAGGGAGGAGTAGCATTGTAAAATATGAAAACAAGAAGTAGAATTAGGACCAAGATTGAAAACCATGGAATTTCACCTTCCCTGTAGGAGAGTTGCCTAATAGAGCTGTCCATAACTGGGCTGCTGTCTGCTTGAGGTAAAATTCTGCTACATGTAAAGTACCTATGCCAGCTTTTTCAATTCACAGATGAGCATGTTGTGAGGGTAACATTAGTATTTGATAAATACCAATTAACCATATTTCCTTTTTTTTTTTCAATACTGGGTTTGAACTCAGAGCTTTACACTTGCTAGGCAGATGCTCTAGTACCTGAGTCACTCCTACTCCATATTTACTTTTTAAAATCAGCTTTTTTAGACCTGGGTATGGTGGTGTATGCCTGTAATCCCGGCACTTGGAAATTGAGTCAGAAGGGTGGTGAGTTCAGGTTCATAGCAAAACCCTGCCTCAAAAATGAATAAATAAATAAAATCTGTTCAACTTAGAATTGTTGGATAAGAAACCACCTTTACAGCTGGGCATGGTGGTATACGCATGTGGTCCCAGCTCCTTGGGAGGCAGAAATAGAAGGATTGGGGTTCAAAGGCAGCCTGGACAAAAGTTAGCTCCAGACCTACTTAAAAAACAAAAATTACAAAATTAAAAGTAAAGGGACTCAGGGTGTGGCTCAAGTGGTGGGGCCGACTTCAATTCCCAGCATCAGGAAGGCGCACTAAAATTGCACCGGTACAGAAAAGATTAGCATGGCCACAGCACAAGGATGGTATACAAATTCATGAAGTGTTCCATATTAAAACAAAGAGAAACAGAGCTGGGCTGCTTGGGAGGCAACGATTGGGAGGATCGTGGTTCCCTAGTCAGACTGAGCAAAAAGTTCAAGAGACGCCATCTCAACCAGTGAAAGCTGGGCATGGTTGTGAGTGCCTGTCATCTCAGTTGTGTGGGAAGCATAGACAGGAGGATTGCTATCTAGGCCAACCTAGATAAAAACATGACACCCTATTTGAAAAATAGCTAAAGCATAAAGGACTAGGGATGTGTGGCTTAAGTGGTAGAGCCACCTGCCTAACAAACACAAGGCCTTGAGTTCAAACCTTAGTACCACCACCAAAAAAAAAAAAAAGTGCTGGGGGCTTGACTCAGTTGGTAGAGCACTTAGCTAGTATGAGGTCCTGAATTCAAACTCCACTACCACACACATACATAAAAAAAGCCATCTTATAAAATTTTGTTGCTCATAAAATTCCTTATTACTACTCATTGGACATCCTAAAATTTTATAAGCCAAGGCAGAGTGAAATTAAATGGCCTTTTGAGAGCTTGATAGTGAATAGGTGGGAGGGCCCAGAGAGGTTTAGACGTTTCCTGTTTCCTGCTTGTGGACTCACTGATTAACCCAGCAGAATCTGTCAGTGCTTATAGGAAGGGTCTCTGTTCCTACAGCATTTTGTAGAAATCTCTTGAAACACCACTTTTTATAGGAAGGGATAAGTTCTGAGTTTCTCTCTCCCTCAATGACGATCACTGTGTATTCTGTTTTTCTTTATATTCCAAACACTCCAGGAATACGTAGTGAATGAATGAATGAGCTTTGCTAAAGTATGAAATAGTAACTCAGTTTCTAGCTTATTTTTGTCTCCAGCAGTGATGTCTGCTTCTGTGTTACATATGGACCTCAGTGTTAGGAGTTAGCTATGTGCTCATATTCTGAGAGGAAATGGTAGTTATGTATATTTGCCATGGGAGTTTATTTTATTGCTTTTTTGTTTGTTTCATTTCAATGTTAAATATTTTTCTTTAATAATCTTGATATCTGCCTTAAAACATGGATTTCATTGATGGGATTTGAAATAGTGACTTATATTTAGTGCAAATGCACACACTAGACTGTTCTGTATTCTCTGGAACATGTGAGAAGTAAAACCCAACTTTAATTAAAGTCATGTTTAAGTGCTTAATTTTTTTTTTTTTTGTTGCCATACTGGGGTTTGAACTGGGTCCCCACAAATGCTAGGCAGGTATCTACCACTTGAATCCCTCCACTGGTCCTCTTTTGTGTTGAGTATTTTAAGATAGGGTCTTGCAAACTATTTGCCTGTGCTGACCTCAAACCACGATCCTCCTGATCTCTGCTTTCTGAGTAGCTAGGATTACAGGTGTGGACCACCAGTGCTTGGCCTTAATTTTTTTTTTTTTTTAAAACTATAGATGATTGTTTGTCACCATGCCTGGCTTATTGGGGTCTCACTAAGTTTTTGCCTGGGCTGGCCTTGAAGCACGTTCCTCCCAATCTCTGCCTCTTGAATAGCTAGGATTACAGATGTGAGCAACTGCACGTGAGTCAAGAGTTCTAGGTTTGCCAGGTATAGCAACTCATATTTGTAACCCCAACACTTATAGCCTGGGCTATAGAGCCAGATCCTGTTTTATTAAAAAAAAAAAAAATTCAAGTTTGGTAGGAGAAAAAGTTTAAGAAAACTTCATATTCTTGGAATTAGTCCATTTAAAACAACCTTTTTGGCAAAATATATTCTTTTTCAAGGCAGATATATATTATTTGCAGTTAGAGAAATAGTTGGCAACCTGTTATTTGTGGTTATTTATTTATTTATTTATTTATTTTTAAAATAAAGTCAATCTGAGTAAAGCCTGTGGTTGGTTTGCTTGGAAAATTATTGACCTCAGCCTGTTAAATGCCCCTTGGAAAAAAACAATAGTCTTGGCAGTAACTTTGACTCACCCCCAAAGAATTCAACAGAGTATCTGAAGAGATTGCATCATCTTGAACGAATGTGCTATGTTCTGCTCATGTGACTTTAGTTAAACTGCTGCTTTGAATGGTGTGGTAGAAGAGGAAGAAGAAAATTGAGGCCTGTTTTATATAGGACACTGTCAGTCCCATGTTAGCCAGGGTACTAAAAAGCCAAACATGCCCAGCCTGGAGCTCCTAACCTGTTAGCAGGGGCAGACTAGCTGCTGATGGGTATTGGGCTCTATCTCAGAACTGCCTGCCCAACATCATCCTTTACATGCCCTCCCGCTTCTTGAAATAATCACCTCTTTTGCTTCTTAAATACTAGTTTCACAGTTTCTTCCAGAAAATACTGCACAACCTTGAGACTGTAACATTTTCCAATTTCAGCAAAGGGTTAAAGGAAACTGGAAAAAAATGTCATTCTAACTCATAGAAAGTTACGTGCAAAGAAAAATTATAAATGCTATCAGTATTAAAAAGAGATACTAAAAATAAACATAGTATTTATCTTACAGAATTAGGAAGAAAAGAACAATAAACCAAAAGGAAATAGGAAAAAGAAAATAGTAAAGATCAAAAGTGGATTGAGTAGAGAACATCAGTCAGGCTTCCTGATGCATGCTGTAATCCCAGACTTAATAGGCTGACAAGACTGAGTTCAGGGCCAGCCCAAGCTACACATCCAGACCCTCCCTCCAAAACAAAAGGCGGGGCATGGCTCAAGTGACCGTCCTGGCAAGGACAAGGCCCTGATTTCAAACCCCAGTACCACCTTAAAGAAGATAAATTACCTTCCAGTACTCTAAAAAGCACAGTCTCATTAGATTTGTTTATAGTTAATCAAAATGATTTTTCAAATCTATTACGTAAATAAACCTGCTTAACCTAAATGTCTATGAGTGGGTGCTGACTTAACAAACTAGAGATCCATACAGTGGACTGACACACAGTTATAAAAACAAAAAAGGTTGTTTTTCTATGTTTTGATAGGGAAAAAAACCAGACAAAGAACACTGCCTTTTGTGTAAAAATAAAAGGAAGGAATAAGAATGTAAGGTAATATTTGATTTCTGTGTGCAAGAAATAAGGGGTTGGGGGAGATTGGGTGGGCACTGTCAAAATCAAGAATAGTGGTTGTCTATGGCAATGGAAGGAGGAGACAGGGCATAGGAGTCTATAAGGGAGACTCTTTGTGCTGTATGTGTTTATATTTAACTTGTTTGAACCAGGAGAATTTTTTATCTGTTTAAGAATTAATTTAAATTTATTACATTTTTTTTAATCAGCAAGAAAAATGTCCCAAAAGAGAAATTGGCAAAATACATATTGTGATACATCTGTGGAATACTGAATAGTCACTGTAACATGTTTTAGTTTGTTTTCTGTTATTATAACAGAATTCCTGAGGCTGGGTATTTTAGAAAGAAAAGAGGTTTGTTTTGGCTCATGATTCTGGAAGCTGGGAAGATCAGGAACATGGTGCTGGCATCTGCACAGTTTCAGGTGAGGGATTGGTGGCAGAAGGGCAAGCAGCATGTATAGGAGAGGAAGAAAGTGGAACTGGGTTTATGACAACTCACTATAAAGATAATTAATGCAATGAGAACTCACTCATGTAGCAGAAAGTGTTAATCTCTATGAGGGCTCCATCCCAGTGGCCCACACATCTGGGCCCCACCTCCTGACATTGCCTCTTTGGGAACCAGGCCGCATGTGAGCTTTGGTGGGCACAAAGCATATGCAGACTCTAGCAGATATGATGCAGGTTGTGAAGTGGCAGTGGTTGAAATGCTGTCACAGTGGCACAAGCACAGGATGTCAGAATGTGCCAGAACCCAAGCGTAATTCACAATGCTGATGAACAGTTTTGTGGATGACTGATGTTTACATGTTATATTGAATGATGGCTGGGATGAAAAGTTAAATATTAAAAAAGAATCACAGCTCTGAATAGTTCATGTAAAATAAAATGTAGGGAATGAGAATTTTTTTTTTTGGAGGGTGGTGGTATTAGAGTTTGAACTCAGGGCTTCACACTTGCTAGGCAGGTATTCTACTGCTTGAGCCACACCACCAGTCCCAGGAATGGTAATTTTAATAGTTGGGAAGAAACAGAAAGCCTCACAGAGGAAAATACCAATAGAGTCAATTATTTTAAAGTACTTAAATTTTCGTATGTCACACAATTAGAAAAGCCCAAGCCAAACGTGTGGATGTGTCCTTAACATGATATATCATTGATGTCGTGGACAAAGGTGTAAAGGAAGTGTGAGAAAATAAGAACTAGTTGTTAAAAGTATGGATTACAAATGAGTTTTGTTTCCCTTAGATGAAGTATAGTGGTCTTACCTTTGTAGCAAATATTTATTTCCAACAAGGAAACGTTGCTCTGGAAGGACTAAGTATTTTTCTAAGAAAGGGAATAATGTAGACAGCCTTAATGAATGTTATCTCTCTGACTATTTCATTATTAGAGTGTACCAGGCATCAGATCAGTCTGGAGATGGAAGTCTCTGATGCAGTGTTGCCAGTCTGTCATTTTTGATAGAACTCTTGAGAAGTTGAAAAGAAGACAACCAAAGAAGCTGCCGATGGAGTGATAGATGTAGCACTCAGTCAAGTTGGAACCACAAAGGATTAAGCTACAGGATTGTGTTCCTCTCATTAAATTTTTTTATTAGGATATATTTGTTGTATGGGGGGTTCATTGTGACAATTCCACGTAGGCGTATGTTGTACATTGGGTATATTGCCGCCACCTCTCTTTATTTTTACCTTCTCTTCTCCCAGGTTGGTGGTACTAAGGCTGGTGTAGTCCGATTTCTCGGGGAGACTGACTTTGCCAAAGGGGAGTGGTGTGGTGTGGAGTTAGATGAACCTCTTGGGAAGAACGATGGAGCTGTTGCTGGAACAAGGTTGGTTTGCAGTTGTGTGACATCAGGTCACCCTCTTGCACATGAAAGTGCTGAAGGCAGATCTCACCAAAGGTGTGTAATTAAATGGAAAAGAAAACTGGAAGTGTAGATCAGTGACAGAGCACGCGTCCAGCATATTCAAGGCCCTGGCTTCCATCCCTACACTTCCAAGAAAGAAAAAGGAAATGAATATTTGAAAGACCTGTATTTTTATTTCCTGAGACTTGCCTCCTGCCTTTTCCCCACTAGGATTTAGTTGTTCTTTTGACGGTGTTTAGTAATACTTACAGGACATTTGAGTAGATTCTCTTTAGTTTTTAAAAACAGGAAGAAAATGTGTTACTCTCCTGGCTTCTTTCCCTGTGATTCCAGTTCACCTCTGCAAATTCTTGGGCATCCAGGGGCAGAGGTGGAGCAAATGCCACATGCTGGTATAGAATTCTACTTTAGGTTTAGAATTTCCAGTAGACCAGTCACATGTTATTAGTTGGAAGAGCCTTTTGGTTATAGTTGTTACTTTTTGAAATTAAGTTGTGTTTGTTACTGTTCTTATTGTTCTCTAAAGATACTTTCAGTGTCAACCCAAATATGGCTTGTTTGCTCCTGTCCACAAAGTCACCAAGATTGGCTTCCCTTCCACTACGCCAGCCAAAGCCAAGGCCGCTGCTGTGAGGCGCGTGATGGCCACCACACCTGCCAGCCTGAAGCGTAGCCCGTCTGCCTCCTCCCTCAGCTCCATAAGCTCCGTGGCCTCATCTGTGAGCAGCAAGCCCAGCCGGACAGGACTAGTAAGCTTTCCTTCTTTATCATTATGTCCTCTGCTTCCCAGGCACTGGACACACCTGTAGCTAGTGCCCTGCTTTGCTTGTCCTTGTCCTCAGTGTTGACCATAGCTTGCTAGGAAGGTCCGTGCAAGGAAGGTTTCAAAAATGTCACCCAAACAAGAATATGATTTGTGAAGTAGGAAAGGGTTTGTAATAGGAAAGCATTTATAATAGCACTTTTCAGGTTCCTTTTTTTTTTTTTTTGGCAGTGCTGGTGTTGGAACTTAGGGCCTTGCGCTTGGTAGGCAGGCACTGTAATACTTGAGCCACACCTCCGGGCCATTTTCCAGATTCTTTTTTTTGGTGGAGTATTTATTTATTTTTAATTTTTATTACTGTTGTACTGGGGGTACATCGTGATACTTTCGAAAGTTCTTATGATATATCGTAGTTGAATTCACCCTCTCCATCATTTTCCTTTATCCCCCCCCCCCCCGCCACCCATTCAGATTCGTAAATGCTTAAAAATCTACCAATCCTTGGTGAATCTGTAATAACTGTTGCTTATTCTTTTCTCTAAAATTATTTGGGCCAAGTATATTGAAGGGATCCTTTTCTCAAATATGTAGGTTTATTTCTCTTTGACTTTAATCTTGAGAACCAAGTATTTTGAGAAAAAGTGTGTTCTCAGAAATTTAATATTATATTAATACCTTTTAACTCACTGAGAACTGTTAATGTGTGAAGTGTTCCTGATATGGTCCAGAGAATGCAGCGGGGACCTTCTGGAATTTGAAAGGGAAAAGTCATGTGTTTTGTTTCATTTCTGTCTTCATCTCCTTCTCTTGGTCCCTCTCCCTCTCTCTTCCTATTTAGATCAATGATAATAAGAATCATCAGAATTAAAATGGTGCCCCATTTTTTTCTGTTAACATGGTGTGTTGTTAGAGTCAAAAGCACTGACTAGACCTCATTCTCTGCTCTTAAGTTCATTTACTTGAAGTGAGGCAAATGTTGCTTACATCAGAAATGGCAGCACAAGATTCTACTCCAAACTGAGTGCAGGATTTCTGCTTTATGATGGGTGAATTTGACAGGACTTAGAAAGTTAAGTGGTGGGTTCCTGGCAGTAGGGTTCTTGTACTTGATCTGCTTTTGCCTTCTCTTTTGTCATGGTTGGTCAGAGAAAGGTGAGGTGGTGAAATCCTTAAGTAGGGTAATGCTTCTCTGTCAGCCAGCTGGAGCATCTTCCTTCTTATGTTCAGATAAAATGGATACTGCTTGGACTGTTTCAATTTGAATATGAAAAGAAGGACTGCGTCCTCACAGAACAATTACAAATAGACTCTTATGAGGAAATTGTGATAAGAACAATGAAATGGAAATGAAGGAAGAACAAATGCCTTTTTTTGGACCAAGTCTTGTTCAAGGAACTCAGCAAATTCCAACATGGACATCTTCTACTCTGCTATTCTAGGAACGATCTGTGGAACTGTCTGCTATGGATGAAGAATTCTTTCCTGAATAATTATTATTAGCTTATAAATTATAAGTGTCATTTTCTTAGGGTTAAACCAAGCTGTCCCTGCTCCCACCAGTCTTCTCTGACATTCAGACAAATCTCAGTAACTCTTAGCTCATTCCTTTTAGCGACGGTAACTGGCAGTGGAGGACTATCTCCTGCCTTGTGAGCCAGCTTAATTTTTGTGTTTTGTGTAGAGTGTATAGTTTCTAAATGAAAAGTTACTGTGAAAGTATGATAAAGATACAAAATAATTGGAAGTATGATTTCATTGATCAGAGATGTATTTCTGTCCTAGAAAAACAAGTTGAAAGAAAAGTTAATATTTTAAAGTCATTCTTTAGTAACCTTAGTGGCTTACTGTTAGGAAATATCCCACTGGACACTGCACTCTTGTCAAGCCTTGGAATTGTATTTATCAGTCACCACCTTCATTTTCTATGCTACTTTGATTTTTCAGCAATACTTGTTTTTTATCTTGGCAAAAGTGAAAACCCCGCTTTGCAAAGGTGTGATACTATTGAATAGAGTACAATATGATGTTGAAACTGAATTGATTCAGTCATTTGCATGGTGTGAAACACATATCTGTTTCCTTTGACATTTCAAAACTTCTTACAGCATCCCTATGAGTTTGCAGGGGCCCCTGGGGCATCTCTGCATATGGTTTGAGAACCTCACGCTTAATGTTCACAGAAAGAGCTGTTAGTAAAAAGTGTATAATTTAACCATATACTAAAAGTGGATAGTTAATTAATCAAATGATTAAAAGAGAGAACAGGAAATTCCCTCTAGTATATTTAAGTAATTCAAGAAATTTCACAAAATGAAACAGCAAAGAAAAGCGTGGGTTTTTTTATTGGATTCAATTGCTTTCATAATTATCAAATTGCCAAATTATTAACTGATGGAAGATCCTTACTGCTATGTCAGTCTGTATCCTGTGATGAGGGCCAAATAGACTGATGAAGAGAAGAGCACTCAGGTGACAAATGAAGCTTTGTTTGCAGAAGACAAAACAAAGGCTGAATTGATCTGGAGCCAGCGATGGCTAAGTCAAGGCCTTGAAGAACTGCTTGGCAAGGGAGAAGACCATTTCCTAACTCCTTCAGCCTCCAAAGCTTAGCGTAGAGGAGAATGATTCCTGCCCAGTTACCTGCTGACAACAGCAGGTTATTTCCTTTGGGTTTTAGGTGACTATGGAGGGGTAGGTATGTGAAACGGCAGAGATTAACAGGTGATAGAACTGAACAAATGAACATATTCTTTCTTAGAGTCTCCCTCTCCCCCTTCTTCCCCCTTGCATTCTTCTCTATTACTTCCCTACACTCCTTATTTCTCTTTTCCCTTTGTCTCCCCATTTCCTCCCTCCTCCTTTCCTCTTTCTTTCTCTTTCTCCCTCCCCCCTCTCCCTCTCCTCCTGCTCCTCTCATGTATACATGCCCACACATATCTTTTAACTACTCACATTTATGAAGTCTGCCTTTCCCTCTTTATAAGTCTCTGGTGGTTAGGAGTCAGGTCCTAGAGATTGAATTTCTAGGTAAGATCTTCCATGACTTGCCTTTTGAGAGAAAAATGAAGAAAACCCTGAAAAAAATTTAATCATTTGAAGGTTTTGTGACTCCATTGGAGACTTCTTCATTACTTAATGGTTATTTAGAAGCTTGAGAAGCCTTAAAAAGTCTCAGCCTGAAGTCTTAGGGCCAAAAGATTGACCAGTATCATCACCAGAAGATAACTTATTAAACTTAGACTGAAACAAAGTTTAGAGAAACGTGTTAAATGGGTTCTGGGCAATTTTCTAGATTCCTACAAGACCCTGTCAACACAGCTCAGAGTACCTATGTTTGAGCCACGTGTTCACCCTCTAAACACATTTTGGATTGTTCCTGTGATTGTACAATGATGTGTTCTTTATGAGATTTACAGGTAGAGGCGTATGCTGTTTTGTTTTCTTGGTGAGAACTTTGCATAATACTTTGCAAGCCTCTGAGCTAGGGCAGCGCTCTTGGCTTTGCTGAGGAAACCTGCACCATGCATGCATCACTCCCTCCCTGACAACACCATCGCCCTTCACTTTTCTGACTTTCCTTTGCAGTTGACCGAAACCTCCTCCCGCTACGCCCGCAAGATATCGGGCACCACTGCCCTCCAGGAGGCACTGAAGGAGAAGCAGCAGCACATTGAGCAGCTGCTGGCTGAGCGGGACCTGGAACGGGCCGAGGTGGCCAAAGCCACCAGCCACGTGGGGGAGATAGAGCAGGAGCTAGCCCTGGCCCGGGATGGGCACGACCAGGTGAAGTCTGGCAATGACCTTGTTATGGAGATGGTGATGATTTCTAAATGGAGTGAGGAGGTGAAAGGCGTGCTTGGAGCCAGGGAGCTAGCCTGTGAGCACCAGAAATGAGTGTTAGTTTCTTTGCTGAGCTTGTTGAAAGCTGTGATCTGGGCCAGTTTCCATCGTCATAAAGATGAAGCTTTGTTCTTCTCTATTCTACCTTTTAGTCTTTACGTCCAGGTCTTTGGGCCTGTCTGTGTTAACCACTTGTTTACTAGGATGTGAGCAGTGATCACAGCTCCTCTTTGTAGATTATTATTGACACGTGTTTCAGCATTGGAAAAGATGAGAATTGTTTTAACTTTCTTTCTGTTGCTTTAATGGTGTGGTTTTTCATCATCTAATTTCCAGGAAAGCTGCTGAGAGTAACCTATTAAGATAGAAAGCATTGAGTGTGGAAAGGTTTAGAGTAATGCCCACCCACCATGGTAACACCTGTAGCTGTTTTGAGGTATCCCTGGGTCTGTTTCTGGGTTAGAGATTGGCCACTCACTAGCATCCTTGCTTCCCCAGCATGTCCTAGAACTGGAGGCCAAGATGGACCAGCTACGAACAATGGTGGAAGCAGCTGACAGGGAGAAGGTGGAGCTTCTCAACCAATTGGAAGAGGAGAAAAGGTGCTCTGACTGTTCTCTGGTGCATATGTGGCCTTTTCCTTTTAAATGATTTCCTAAGCTGGGAGCTGGTGGCTTATGTCTAATCCTAGCTACTTGAGGATCACGGTTCAAGGCCAGTCTGGGCAAATACTTTGTGAGACCTGATCTCTTTAAAAAAACAAAAAGAAAAAAAAAAAACCGGAGCAAAATGGGTTGGAGGCCTGGGTGAAGATGTAGAGCACCTGCTTTGTAAGCATGAAGCCCTGAGTTAAGACCCCAGTCCCACCCAAAAAAAAAAAAAAATTTCCTAGTAAGAGACTTGTCAGCAATACCTTTTTTGTGTCCACCCTTAGAAACAAAAAACTCTGTTCAGAAAAAATCAAGTTTGTCATGCCAGGTAAAGAGGATGTGCTTTGCTGGGTGCCAATGGCTCATGCCTGTAATCCTAGCTACTAAGTAGGCAGAGATCAGGGGGATTGTGGTTCGAAGCCAGCCAGGGCTAATAGTTCAGGTGACCCTATCTCAAAAATACCCTGGCCAGTGGATATTCTTGGTCCTAATTACCTACTGTTTTTGAAATTGTGTTATGTCTGGTGGGTGATATCAGGTCTTTGAGAAACTCAGAACCTTATTAGGGAGGTAGAAGTCTGATGGTAAACAATTAAAGAATTATTCAAATTAATATGAAATCAAGTGCTAAGTGGTATGAGACAGAAGTTTTGTTCTTTTTTTGTTTTTTTTTTTTTCTTTTTTGTGATACTGGGTTTGAACTCAGGACCTCACATTTACTAGACAGGCACTCTATCCCTTAAGCCAGTCTAAGAAGTTTGGTTCTTACACTTGAGGTTTCTTTTTTTTTTTTTAATTGTTTTATTTTTCATATTTGAGGTTTCTTGAGACCAGAAACCAACAAGATCTAGCAAAAAAGTGTGTGCATGGACACCAATGGACCATCCTGAGTTCTGGGAAGCTGTCCTCCATTGGACTTACTACACCTTGTCATTTCTGAGATCAGCCACCTAGTTCAGTAATAACCTAGTATTACTTGTATGCTCAGGCTGGTCCCAGGCACTACGTGGTAAGAGGACATAGACATACAGATTCTTACTAAGGAAATCACTTCCATGCTGGAGAAATACTAGACATAGGATGTTCTCACATACAAAATATGGCTACAAAGCTGGACATGGTGGTGCATGTCTATAATCCCCACACTTGAGAGCCTTAGACAGGAGGATCACAAGTTTGAGGTTACCTTGGGGTACATAGTAAAACCCTGTCTCAACTCAAAAAAAAGCCAGGCACTGGTGGTGCATATCTATAATCCTAGCTACTCAGGAGGCAGAGATCAGGAGAATCAAGATTCGAAGCCAGCCTGGGCAAAGTAGTTTTTGAGACCCTATCTCTAAAAAACCCATCATAAAAAAGGGCTGGTAGAGTGGCTCAGGGTGTAGGCCGTTCAAGCCCCAGTACTGCACACAAAAATAAAAAGCTACAAGTAAAGGAGAGAACTTGCTAGACTTTTCTAAGCCATTCTGAATATCCTTGCACCAGTGCCATTTGCTTCTGTCCTTAAACTGTCTCTGACTGTGCAGACTGCTAGGCAGTAGAGACATGGCACAGCTCTTAAGGAGACTTGAGAGCTTCAATTTGTTAGAGTTCTCATTTAACTGAGCAGGTTTTTTGTTTTTTGTTTTTTTTTTTAAAGTTAGGGTCTTGCTGTGTAGCCCAGGCTGGCTTCAAACCTGTGATTCTCCTACCTCAACTTCCCAAGTGCTGATATTATAGGCATCCACCATGACCCTTGACTTAGGATTTTTTTTAATTTTTATTTTTGGTAATACTGGGATTTGAATTCAGGACCTTGTGTTGTACCGTTGAGCCACCCCCAGCAATATTTTTTTATTCTTAATTTTGCTGGAAATGTTTGTGGGTTGTTGAAGAATTTATTTATTTATTTATTTATTGTGGTACTGGAGTTTGAACTCAGGACCTTGCACTTGCTAGGCAGGCACTCTACCGCTTGAGCCACTCTGCCAGCCCTGTTGAAGAATTTTTTTTGTCCCCCTCCCATCCCCAAGAATTTTGTTTGGTTGTAGGTTATGACTTTGTCCTGTTCCCCTTTTTCCTTTGCATCCAAATTTGTAAAAAGTCATAATGGGAGGGGGGGTAGTTCAGTGATAGAACAATGTGTAGCATACACAAGGTCCTGGGTTCAATTCCCAACACTATAAACAAAACAAAACAAAACAAAAAGGCTCACAGTGTGGGTGTTACTTGGGTTTTGTAAATCTTCTGACTGTCACTGCCTTTGGAATGACGTTGATTGAAGCCACACTCAATATGTGAGAAAACATACACTTTTGAATCAAAGAATAGATTCCCTGATTATTTCTCCCCCAAATCATTCACAATTCTACTGTCCTAGTCTTGTAGGGGCTAGACTTATCAAGGAGGCAGTAAGACTAGGTCTCAGACTGGGGCCATGGATCAAGTGGTAGAGCGCCTACCTAGCAAGGCCCTGAGTTCAAACCCCAGTACCACAAAAAAAAAAAAAAAGACTTTTCTTTGTGCGAAAAGCCTTCCAGCACCACCCTAAAACAGTCCATATGGGGTGACATAAAAAGATTTGCTTCTGTAGCACTCTCCCCTAGGTTCTATATTGGAAAGTAGAAACTATACACTTGAAAACTGAAACCTATTTCTTTGGTAGTGAGACATTTTCCTGTTAGATTGGTCTTATCTTGATAGATCCATTCTAGTGTTTTGTGACCAATCGAACCAGTTTATATTTGAAAATTCTTGCCTCATGCCTTCTGGAGTCAGTGTCTGTATAAAACTTTGAGGTTTCCTAAAGTTAGAGTACAGCTTGTATACACCGGAGCTCTGAAACGCATGTCTTTATATTCTGTCTCTAAGGCATTTCTTCTCACCATCATCTGGGTTCTTCTAAGTGTTAGTCATAGATTGCAGGGCGGGGCAGGAGCACGAGTAAAGCAGCCATGTTCTTTAGTTACTTTCTTAAGTGCTTTATTTTGGTTTTATTTCACAGGAAGGTTGAAGACCTTCAGTTCCGAGTTGAAGAAGAATCAATTACCAAAGGTGATCTTGAGGTAAACCTTTCCAGCTCTCTAAAGCTTTTATGGGTATGAGTATTGAGAAATATGGGTGACATACTGTGCCAGCTGATCCTTGTGGCCAGAACAGTCAGCTGAGAGAATGGCAGGTGTTCTGCTTCTGGCCCACTTGGGTTGTAGGTGAGGCTTTGTGGCTGAGATAACGGTACAGGTCCTTGTGGTATTGTGCCGTGATAGGGTGTCCCAATTCCTGTGGCAGATTGAGATGCACATTACTCTTCTCAGGCTTCTAAATTCAAAGCCATGCATTGGATTTAATCATGAATCTGGCAGTGTATCCTCAATTTAAGGAAGTCCTAAGTGAGACTCTGTGTTCCTCTGATGATTAGAAATGACTTTTGAAAGAGCATTTTCAAATTTCATCTTCATAGTCCATAACAAAACTTTTTTGCTTTATCTCAGATTTTTCACTATAGCAGGATAAGTCCTCTAAAAAACTATAAAAGTTATGTGTGTCCTAAGAGTTGTTTTATTTATTTTTTGGGTTCTAAGGATTGTGGGCACAGCCTTGTTCATGCTAAAACCATGCTCTGCCACTGAGCAACATTCAACCCAAGTAGTTGAATTTTTTAAAAAGTCATTACTAGAGCAAAAAGTAAGAACAATTTATATTTTAACTTCTTTTACTTCTGTGGCATATTTAATATTAATTGTTAAGAGGTTTCTCTTACCTCTTAACAATTATTGATATTAGTTTTAAATTAGACACTGGAATTAAACAGCTTTGATGCTTTTCAAGCCACTGCCAGATGTGTGACAAATGTAAATTAACTTTTTCAAATTTTGGTGATTCTTTTCTATTTTAGTAAAAATTGCACTTGTTTGTGCAGTTTTTAGAAGAAATGCTTTTGCCACCATTACAATTTTAGAGTCTGTTGGCTGCTCACACTATACTTAAATTGTGGGCCTTTCCAAACAAGAAGTCTGATTTCTCTGGAAATAAATGTATCTGTACAGTCAACAAAGAGTAAAGGGAACGTTTTCTGAGTTTTGTAGGGTCCAGAATTTAATGGTTTATTAATAACTTAATAGACATCTTCTTCATTCATTTCATACATAGTCATATCCTTTAGTTGACTTTTGTGTTGTTCTTATCCATTTAAAAACACCCCAAAGTCTCATAGAAGTTTCATGTCATCATCTAATTCATATGAATTATAGCCTCTAGTGTTCAAGGGAGGGTTCAATTAAAATATTTACATCAGAATTAGGCTAGTATAGTCTTTCTGATAAACTTCTTGAAATTAATCAAATAAAGTCTTGAAACCCTAACACATTTTGAAACTTTAGTTGAATCTCTTTTTTCTTGTTTAATTTTTTTATTTTTTTACTGATAGCAAAAGAGCGAGATTTCTGAAGATCCTGAGAATGTAAGAGGGCACTTAACTGTGTGGATATCTCCTTTAACACAGATTGATTCCAGATTAAAATGCTTATTGATACACTCAAATACTAACTGCAGAATCTGACCTTGCAACATTGCCCTTAATATTTCTGTGCATGTGCCTTTCAAAGCAATTACATTTTTATTCTGAAGAAATTGTATGTAATGACTGAGCTCTGTAAATTCATTTGGGTAACAAACAGGCAAATACTTGCTTTCTAAAGAATGTTTGACAGAAGGAAAAAACTTTTTGTCTGAGGGCCTGGCCTTAACCTAATTTATCACGTTTCTAATTTTAGTAGAATTATTCCCAAAGGGATGGTAGCTGATAGAAGCATAACACATGTTAGATGAAGAAGTTGTAGAAATGCTAGAAGTTCCCCAAGTTGTTCAGGGTTCCCTAAGAGCAAATGAAATCCTGAGATTCCCAGCACCTTTTGCCTTTATGTGGCTCCCACATCAAGTGCCCATAAAGGCTCTCACTACCAGTGCAACTAACAAAAACTTAAAACTTAATCTGCTGTTACAGTATTTTCTCAAATGTCTGAAAACAGAGGCCAGTATTTTTCAGTGAAGGCACTGTGTATTTTATGTATCTTCAGTTTAATTTTTTTGTGGTACTAGGCAAGCACTCTACCACTGAGCTACTACCCCAGGTGCTTTTTAGTTCTATTTTGAGACAGTCATGCTACGTTGCCCAGGCTGGCCCTGAACTTGTGTTTCTCCTATCTCCTGAGTAGCTGGAATTATAGGTATGAAGCACTGCACACAGCTACTGTGTTGTTTTTAAAGTTACTTTTATTGAAGGGGGCTTTTTCCAGTAGCACTGCTACTAGGCACATATGTTTTTTAATTCCTCCCTCTGATTAAGATTGAACACCCAACGCAAACCTTACAAAAAGCAGCCTCTAGAACATTGCTTCTTAGTGCATCTGCCAGCTCTGCTACCAACTGATTTACTAGCGTAAGAGAACGAATTAAAATAAGTACTACTTTTGTTCCTGCTACCTACTTGCAGTTGAAATAGACAACTCAAGATGGAACTTTTTTCGGAGGGGGGTGAACCGGAGCTTGAACTCAAGACCTTAGGGCTCTTGCTAAGCAGGAGCTCTGTCCCTTGAGACACTCCACCAGCCCAAGATAGAACTTTTTAAAAGGTCTTTGTTCTGAAGTGTTCCTTTCTGCAAAGCTACTTCAGTGATCTGGATCTCTTTTCTCCTTCCAGAACAGGCTCCGCTGCCTCCGGTGTCAGTGTGCATGGGACCTCCCTCCTGCCTCTCTGTGCGCTTCTCACAAGGCCTTTTGCTTTCTTCTAAGCCCTTGTCCCAGGACTTTTCTCTTGGGATACCATGTCTTATTCTAAGAAGGCAGTACTTGAAAAGGGAGGGTTGTCCTGTTCAGTGTCACACTCTTACTATGGGCTGTGGATCGCTGGTTGCCTTGCTTCTGACTGTTGACAGGGCCTCTGTGGAGCCACAGATTACTCGTGCACAGACCCTTCTGTAAGGAGGGGTGTTGTGCTTAGCTGGAAGGTCTGCATGGGGAGATCACAGTAAAAGAACATTTGCCCTTCATCTGCACATAGTGACCTTTCTCCCGGAGAACACCTAATTCAGAGCAAAAGAAGAAAGGGTCCGTGGTTGCCTTTTGCTGTCTTCTGTTGTTAGTTTTGTATTTCAATTCCTGAAGCTGTAACCATAACTATGTAGATTTGGATTAGGCTCTTTTCTTGTAAAAGCAGATAAATTGAACAACTTCCATCTGTGGCATATGTGGACCAAGAGAACTATCTAATTAAGGTTTCAATTTTATTTCATTATTTTTGTGGAGTATAAAGAATGTAGAGGAAGAATTTTCTTTTTCTTTTTTTGGTGGTATTAGAGTTTGAACTCGGCTTCATGCTTGCTAGCAGGTGCTCTACCACTTGAGTCAGTCCACCACCCCTCCATGATTCGTAAGCAAAGTGGCCCTATGAATGCATTGAAGTCCCCAGAGTCCCAGTGGAGTGAGCGAGGATGTTTATAATCTTGACTTTTATATCCCATGTTCCACTCAAGTTCTGCACTGTTTGGTGTCATTTTGTTAAGACCACTGTTGTTACTTTCTCATTGCCTGTAATTGTCCAGACTGATGTACCAAGTCAGTGAGAACCACAAAATATCTTAAGTTAATCCAAGGAACTAACTAGTAGCTGCTGTGCGAGTTTTTCTCGTGAGTTTTTCTGATGGCATCTTGGGTAGAAGAGGCGTGGGAGAAGAAAGGTACATTTATACTGATAGCCAGATTATTTCAAGTGGAGCTAGATTTTGCTGCACTTGAGCCTGTGGAGGAAGAGGTTACCTCCTGGGTTCCCATCAGATAATCTGAGTACATTATGAGGGGATTCAGAGCACATGAGGTCTTAGAGACTCTGGCTTTCACTATTTTCCTACCTTTCTTTCTTCTGAGTTGATAAAAAATGACTTCATTTCAGCATGAAAATAATTCCTTTACAGTTTGAGTTAAGCTTTTCTCTTGTTCTGAGCCCCTTAATTGGCCTCTTCAGAGATGGAGGCTGTGGAGGGTAATAATTACCGACAGAAAAAAAACCATTATTTTCTTTGTAATCCTGATTTCCCCTCTCCCCCCGCCCCACCCCAACATACACACAAATTGCCTTTGGAAAATCCCTGTTGGGAGAAAATTAGAGCTTCTGGGGTTCCTTTCTGTCCTGTATGAGGACATGGCTGAGACCCTCTCCCAGACACTTCTTACCATTTCAGCAGAGATTGCTGCTGTGAGTTCCTTCTCTGATTTCTAGATTCCCTTTATTAAATTTAATTCTTGGCCCCTATGCATGACAATTTGTATGCCAGGTATAAGTGTCTTCATTAAGAAGAAGTCTGATGACTTAATGAAGATGAAGATTTGTAGTGGTGTGTCTTTTCCATGTTTAGGAGTTAGGGATGACTTTTCTGAGGGTCAAAGTAACTTTCCAAGTCGCTGAGTCAGTTACATACACATTAATGTCACATAGTTACTGTGGGGTGGAGGGAAGATGATAGTTAGAGGAATATTAACTATTCTAATTTGTGCTGATAAACTTCACTTATCAATATAACATATTTTTGGCTGCATGCATCTGACACTCCCATCTTGCCTCATATGTTTTCCATTTTTTTTCTTTCTCAACAGACTAGCTCATGTCTTCTGCCCACCTTCACCCTTTTGTGCATAGTATCCATCCTCATCCCGTCCTCCTTGCAGTTCCATCCTCTTTCTTTCTCCATTACCCTTTTTGTTCATCCTCTGGCAGAAAGTACTGGTGGCTCAGCCCGCATGCCGCTCTTTCCTCTCATGCTGGCATGTCATGGTGGCACTGTTGTGTTTTCTTCCTCTTCCTTTTTACTAACAGACGCAGACCAAACTGGAGCATGCCCGCATTAAGGAGCTTGAACAGAGCCTGCTCTTTGAAAAGACCAAAGCTGACAAACTCCAGAGGGAGTTAGAAGACACTAGGGTAATGGTTTTCACTATTTAATGAAGCAGCCCCATGCGTGTGAATGGTGGACACTTCGGGTGACAAGCCTTGCTTTTTGCCTGAGCCTCAACCCAGTAGTACAGCCTGAGTTTGGTCTCAGTACTGCTCAGGTGTTCATGATTTTAGAACAATGGGTAGGCACAGGTATTTTATATCAAATCTTTTGTCAAGAGTAGAGACTCAACTCTTTGGTTCTCGAAACCAGTAACAGCCATATAAACATGTGGATATCCACAATTGCACTTGAGGTTCTTTGTATTAATACTTTGAGATAACTTTTCTCTAGTTTGCTACAAGCAGTCAATTGTCCTCTTGTTCTCCTATTCCTAGTTACTGAGTTTTCTAAATAATTAGTTTGTTTCCTGCCTTCTCCCTAGCCTGCTGGGGAGAGGAAATTGAAAGACTGCCTTTTTTTTTTTTTTAATGGGAATTAAGGACTTTAATCCCAGTTATCTTTTTTTCTTGATACTTGATCTGTCATTGCTTATGCCTCCTTTCTGTCACCCAGGAGATTAAAATCTCACTGGTCAGGAGGGTACTTTTTGGGAACAGAATGATTTCTTTCTTTCTTTTTTTTTTTTGGGTGGAACTGGGCTTCATGGTTGCAAAGCACATGCTCTACTGCTTGAGCCATATTTCCAGTTCATTTTGGTATGGTTATTTTGGAGAGGCATTCTCACAAAATGTTTGTCTAGCCTGGCCTCAAATGTAATCCTCTGGATCTGAGCTTCCCAAGTAACTAAGATTACAGGTGTGAGCCATAAGCACCTGGATGGGAACAAAATGATTTCTTATTATCCTTAGTTCAATATGTTTGGCCTTTGGAACCAGGGAAATCAGTCCTGTTTTTGTTAATTTACATATTAAGCACCTAGAAATTGCTTACATTTTGCTGTGCAGTAAGTGCTTTGCCAGTATTCATTCTTACCACAACACTAGGTGGTGGGTAGTAGTATTGTTCCATTTTACAGATGATGCTAAATAATAATTTATTCTCAGAGAGGTTAAATAATTTGCCCAAGGTCACACTGCTAACAGTAATTGGGGAACCAGGATTTGCACCTAGGTCGTTTGGCTTTAGAATCTGTGCTCTTAACCAACACAGGTTGGAGTTTATTATAGAAATAGTTTTGTGCTGAAAGAAATAATTGGAGTCACTCACATATAAAAATATGTATTCAAGTATGTTTTAAATCAAGAATTTGACTATGATTGGCCTTAACTTTAAAATTTCAAAAATTCCTATCTCTTATCAGATTTGGTGTCCTGATTTTTTTCTTTTGAATCATGAGTATTTGTAGAAATTTCTCTTGCTGAGAAATCATTGATCTAAAAATCTAGACAACTGAGTAATCTTCCTTCTCTCAATCATGAGTTTTTTATTTTTTAAGAAGAAAGGAAATGTTCTCAGTCATCCTTACAACTAAAGATTTTTCATTACATTGGGTAAGCAAAAGAGCGGGAAAAAAGGTAATTTGGTTCGGTTACCTGAGCAAAGACTTGATCTGGGAAATACAAGGGACTGATGAGGTGGAGGTACTTGTGTATGACTGGTATTGAAGTAGATAGAGATGCTTTCTGCTTCTGAACTCCTCTCCCAGGTCTTAATTTTACCAGCAAACAACTTTAATGCTTTCTTTTTTGTTCTGGATAAGAAGGCATCTATTGAGATGGAAATGTAGCTCAGTGGTTTAGTGTTTGCCTAGCATGCATGAGGTCTTGGGTTCAATCCCCAGTACCACAAAAAAGCAAAAGGAAAGAAAAAAGAAAGGAAAAAAATAAAGGCATTTATTTGGTTTACCCAAGCATTTCAGATGGAAGCTTACATCTTGCCATAACACACTCTGTCTGCTATTATTGAGCCTCTTTGTTTGCCAAGTATGAAAATGACCAGTTAACTCATTTAAGTCTCATATCACTTACATTCGCTTTTAGAAGTACCTTAGAATTACTTTAGCCAACGAATCCAATTTATGAATAGTGTGCCTGCCTGATGCTGTTAGAAATGATTCCTGACTTTTATGACCTCGAACTAGCACAAGAGGCAGACACATAGTTTTGATTCAGGTCAGACTTTGGGGAATAAAATTTAAAATAGAAGTGCTATTCCTTATGTAAAAAGCCACATAAAGAATAATTACGTTGATTTTTTACTTACTTTTTACTTGGCATTCTCTCAAATTAACTATTTTGTTGTGACTAAGAACCATTACCTTATTGGATTTAATTTATGCTACAGAACTTGCAGCAATGGTGGGATTTATTAATGTTTTATATCTTATTTTTAGGTAACAAATATGTGGGCCCTCTCTCCTTAGAAAATAGTATATAAGTGAATTAACATCTTGAACTGAAGCATCTGTAATAACTATAAAGCACAGTAATTGTAGTCTGTTCTGAAATATTTAATGACTGATTGTGCAGTTGTAGAAACTCACATGCTTTTTTTTGTCTTTTCTCCTGGACAGTTTATTAGTGTTAGAACTTGTATAATCAGGCAGAGGAAATGAAAGAGACTTGTATTTTCTAGCACAATAAAGGCAATGTGGGAGAGGAGTCTTAAGTTGGAGTAATTTTGATCCTTGAAATTTGGGACCACTGGTATTTTTAAATTACCTGTGTTCCCTTCTATTTCCCAGGTTAGTCAAATAATTTTTTTATGTCTGAAGCTACCATTTTCCACATGTTGTATTGACTGAGCTGACAGCCTAACAGATAGCAGTGGGGAATAATTTTCTAAGACAAAAGGATTCAGGTTGCTGAGAAAGTATTTTTCCTAACTCTGAGGTACTCACTGAAAAAACACCTAGCTGGGCACCAGTGCCTCACAGTGTAATCCGAGCTACTTGGGAGGCTGAGATCAAGAAGATTGAGGTTAGAGGCAAATAGTTCTTGAGACCACATCTCCAAAACAACCAGAGCAAAATGCACTGGATGTGTGGTTCAAGTGTTAGAGTGCCTGCTTTACAAGCACGAAACCCTAGTAACCTCAGTCACACCAGAAAAACCAAAACCACCAGCGCTCAAATAAAATGAAAATACATGGGAGTAGGCCGGAGTCTGCATTGTAGATTCACACTGCAGATGATTCATGTGTGTTAGTGTGGAGAACCACTGGGCTAGGGAAACAAGGTGCATACATCCAAATAAAATCCAGAAAGGGGTCCCTGTAAGATTCTAAGTTGTATTTGCAGGTAAGTAAGCTTTCTTTTGTCATATTAAAAAAAAGTTAGTAAATTTTTCCTTATCCAGTTATTTGACATGTGATGTGTTATCGATTGAAATATTTGATAGTGATATCCAATAGAAGTACCAGTCACATATATGGAATTTACAGTCTTCTGGTTCCCAGTAACTTTTTAGTAAGTTAAAAGTGAAAATAATTTTCATATGGCTTTAAACCAATATGTCAAAAATATTATCATTTCCTAATGTAAGCAATATAAAAATTATTAGCAAGATATTTTATGTTCTTTTTTCTCTAAGTCTTTAAAACCTGACTTTTTTTTTCTGGGTACTGGGATTTGAACTCACGGCCTGTACCTTGAGCCACTTCACCAACCCTTTTTTGGGTTGTTTTCGAGTTAGGGTTTTGCGAACTATTTGCCAGGGCTGGCATTGAACTATGATCCATCTGATCTCTGCCTCTTGAGTAGCTAGGATTATAGGTGTGAGCCACTTGTTCTTGGCTCTGATGTGTGTCTTGCAATGCATCTCACTGCAGATGAACCACATTTCAGTTCTCAGTGTCTACATGTGGCCAGTTGTTATTGTAGAGAACAGCATAGTGGTGTTCATCACCAAGCTCAGGCAAAGAAGCATTGGTATAGCCTGGGTGAGGGGATGTGTTAGAAGAACTGGCCAAATAAGGGGCATTCTTTCTTCCATGAGGCAGATGTATCTGAGAACTTTGAAAGTTATCATTTCTGTTACTTCCCTGGTTTAAGCTTCTTTACAGGAAAAGCAAATATACTTGGTGTGAGTTAAGTTCAGTATCCATTTTAGATTCCTTTAGCATCTTAAACTGGTGGAAGTTTGCCCAAGATTATAATTTTAAATTGGAGCTACCAGAATTGTGCATAAGCTAGTATCACAGTGAGAGATAAAGTTAACCCATTATCATTTGTAATAACTTGACAGTTGCCTGAGTTGGAGTAGTTTGTAAAAATTTTCAGTGTTAAAGAAAATCATCAGTAATTTGTTAGTTAAGTGATCTCTTTTTTTTTTTTTTGAACTGTTTATAGGTGGCTACAGTATCAGAAAAGTCTCGTATAATGGAACTAGAAAAAGACCTAGCATTGAGAGTACAGGAAGTAGCTGAGCTCCGAAGAAGGCTAGAGTCCAGTAAACCTGCAGGGAATGTGGACATGTCACTTTCCCTTTTGCAAGAAATAAGCTCTTTGCAAGAAAAGTTGGAAGCCACCCATACTGACCACCAGAGAGAAATAACTTCTCTGAAGGAGCATTTTGGAACTCGGGAAGATGCATTTCAGAAGGAAATAAAGGCTCTGCATGTGGCCACAGAGAAGCTTTCCAAAGAGAATGAGTCCTTAAGAAGCAAACTTGACCATGCTAACAAGGAGAATTCTGATGTGATAGCTCTGTGGAAGTCCAAACTGGAGACTGCCATTGCATCCCACCAGCAGGCGATGGAGGAGCTGAAGGTGTCCTTCAGCAAAGGGGTTGGAACAGAGACAGCCGAATTTGCTGAGTTAAAGACACAAATAGATAAACTGAGACTAGATTACCAGCACGAAATAGAAAATCTGCAGAATAAGCAGGATTCTGAACGGTCTGCTCATGCTAAAGAGATAGAAGCCCTGAGGGCTAAGCTGATGAAAATCGTTAAAGAAAAGGAGGATAGCCTGGAGGCCATCAAATCAAGACTGGACAAAGCAGAAGACCAGCATCTAGTGGAAATGGAGGACACATTAAACAAACTGCAGGAGGCTGAAATAAAGGTAAAGGAGCTAGAGGTTCTGCAAGCCAAGTGCAGTGAACAAAGCAAGGTCATTGGTAATTTTACATCACAGCTCAAGGCTGCTGAAGAAAAGCTCTTGGATCTTGATGCCCTTCAGAAATGCAGTTCCGAAGGTAAATTGGAAATCGAGACACTTAGACAGCAGCTTGAGGCAGCAGAGAAACAGATTAAAAATTTAGAGATTGAAAAGAATGCTGAAAGTGGCAAGGTTTGTATTGACATCTTCCATCCTTTTTTTTTCCCCCCATTGGTTATTTTTATTTTGCATTGTGTTATTTTTGAGTTGAAGTCATTCATCCTCCAAATACATGATTTCCTGAAAACAAATTGCATGACAATTCTCAGGGTAGTGGAGTCTGGTTATCATCTGAGGATCTGAGGAGATTAGAGAAAAGAGTGGCCCAACCATGTGGATTTATGTTAGTTCTAGAATCCAGTTACACACATCAGGTTTTGAAGACTTAGAGAAACAAAGGACATAAAATATCTTGGTGATATTTTTTAATACTGATTATTCGAACGAACTCCCTAAGACAATGATGTTAAGGTAAACGAGTGATTGAATGCGATAGAAATGTGTACGGTCAGGCTGGACATGGTGGTACATATCTGTAATCCCAGCATTTGGAAGGCAGGGGGATTTTGAATTTGAGGCCAGCCTGGGTTAAAAACAAACAAAACTAACAGCAGCTGGGTCATGGCTGAAATAGTAGAGAGTCTGCCTAGCAAGTGCAAGGCTCTGAGTGCAAACCCCAGTATCATTCACACACACAGAAAAAAGGCTATACAAGGTCTTCTTCTTTTCCAACCATGTCACTCCCTTGTTTGTAGGTTGTATGTAAAGTAGAGTATGAACTGAGTGCTGCTTGGTACTGTAAATTAATATGTGGAAACGAGTAACGTTCCCAGCAGAAGTGTGGTCAGGAGCCCAGAACCCTTTACATTGCCACTCAGGTTTCATTGGAGTTTCTTCCATACCACAATGAAGACACCATCTAGCTCCATCTAGCAACTTTTTTTTTTTTTTTTTTTTTTTTTGTGGGACTGGGGTTTGAATTCAGGGCTTTGTGATTGCAAAGCAGGCACCCTACTGCTTGAACCAACTCTAGTCCATTTTGCTCTGGTTGTTTTGGAGTTGAGATCTCACAAAAATGTTTGCCTATGCTGGCCTCAAGCTTCTATCCTCCTGATCTCAGTCTCCCAAGTAATTATAGGCATGAGCCACTGGTACCCCACTAGGTCCAGTTTTCTTGAGGGAAGACATAGGAAACTATGAAACATCCACCAGCTCCAATTTCTTCTAACTAGCCTTGTTAAATGTCATGTCCATTTTTAAGGATTGTCTTTAGGTGAGGTGCTGGCATTGATGTTGAATGTTCTAAGCCTTTTTTTTGTGGTACTGGAATTTGAACTCAGGGCCTACGCCTTGAGCCACTCCACCAGCCATTTTTTGTGATGGTTTTTTTCGAGATAGGGTGTTGTGAACTATTTGCCCAGACTGACTTCAAACTGCAGTCCTCCTGCTCTCTGCCTCCTGAGTAGCTAGGACTATAGGCATGAGCCACCAGTGCCTGGCTGTTCTGAGTTTTTTGTAGAAGCTGTTCTACTGGCAAAGAAGGAAGGGTTGTGGTGGTTAAGTGGGGAGTGGTAAGGACAAACAGCAAAAAATTTGCTAAGTAACAGTAGTTGAAGATAACTGGCTACAAGTTTTTCTCTGATCTCTTCATGTGTTTCCAAAATACCAATCAAAACAATATGTAGCTAATGGTTGGACTCCTTTTTTTTTAAAATCTCAAGGAATAAAGCCAAATTCTGGTGACTATTGTCTAGTAGATTTTAAAATTCAGTTTGAATGTCAAATACTTTAAACGTGCAAATACGGAAAATAATATAGATCACCACTATAAGGCACCCATCATTTCTGTCTTAAGGGGTTTTTTTTGGGGGGGTGGAATTGAGCCCAGGGCCTTGAGTCTACTACTACTAATAAGCATGGGCTCTTCCAGTGAGCTATATATACCCCACCTGCTTTTAATGTCTAGAGATGAAATTGGCCAAGTAGCTCATTTAGAACGTAAATAGCAGTACTTTCTGCTTCAGATCTTGCTGTATTCCAAATTTAGGTATAGAAATAATGTATTTATTTTAACTTTCTAAAAATAGCCATCAGACAATCATATTTAGAATGGATTGTTTGAAAAGTTATTGGCTTCTTAGAAGAATTAAAAAAACTCTTTTGTTCCTTTCAGTTTTGTTTTGTTGTGTTTGTTTCTCATAGATTTTTTTACATTCATTTTATTTTTTTCTTTATGCTTTTTTGTTTCCTTTTTGTTCATTTGCTTCTATGCCATGTAACTCTGTATGTTAGGCTAGTAGCATTACCAAAGAGCTCCAGGGGAAAGAGCTAAAGCTTACTAACCTTCAGAACAATTTGAGTGAAGTCAGTCAAGTGAAAGAGACTTTGGAAAAAGAACTTCAGATTTTGGTAAGTACCTGCTGGGAATCTGAATCTTAAGGCTTCTGGCCATTTCCTGTTTGAAAAACATTTTCCATAAAAAAAAGATACCACAGCTATTTCTTTCCTCCTTCAAAACGTTGATTTAAATTAAATGTGTTACTGGCTGATAAATACCTGTGGGGAGCCAAGCATGGTGGTGGACATCTGTGATCCCAGCACTTGGGAAGCTGAGACAGGAGTATCAAGAGTTTGAGGCCAGCTTGGGGTACATAGTAAGACCCTGTCTAAACAAACAAACCAGCCTTCTGTACTGGGGTTTGAACTCCAGGCCTACACCTTGAGCCACTCCACCAGCCATTTTTTGTGCTAGGTTCTTGCGAACTATTTGCCCGAGCTGGCTTTGAACCTTGATCCTTCTGATCTCTGCCTCCTGAGTAGCTAGGATTACAGGTGTGAGCCACCTGCACCCAGTTAATTGCTTCCCTTTTTAAAAAAATCTGTTCTTTGCTTCTGGTAAAGCACTACTTTGGAACATCATTAACTATTTTTACTAAGCACCAAGATCTTTCCAGCCATACATTCAGCATAGTTAGGCTTCATTGATAGTGAGGCTCTTGCCCTGGTCCTTCCACCTCCTTTGTGACTTGGAGGCAGGAGCCTCGTCTTCTGCGCCCTCTGTTGGCAAGACAGGGTGTCATGTAGTTGAATTCTTCAAACTTGATTATATTCCACCTTAGGAAATTACTTTTCTTTTGTATATTACCTTTCTTTCTAATCCCAACTTGTGAGACATATTTTTTTTACCTTTTCTTAATTTTTTCCCTTTCTACCTTGCCTCCAAACTTTAGTCAAGGCTGATAATTGAGAACAGTGGCTATGGTACCCATGTGCCAAAGGAGAGGGAAAAGCGCTAAGCTTATAGAGAGACTAGATAAGAGAAACAGTAGCTACTAAGGGTCTCTTGTCACATCTCTGCCACATACCTTCCTGTTACCCACTTACTATACTTCTCTGCTAGGGGCTGGCATGGCTCAAGTGCTAGAGCGGCTGCTTAGCAAGAGTGAAGTGTGAGACCCTGAGTTCAAATGCCAGTACCATCAAAAAAAAAAAAAAAAGTGGAAACTATACTCTGCTAACCACAATGGTGAATAAAAAGTGTGTAATGTTTTTCTTATTGAAATGCCAATGGTGGCATTTCCACCATTGCAGAGAGTTCCGTTGGACAGTTTTGGTATATAATTCAGCTGTGTTTTGTTGAGAAAGAGTTGGCCTGGGAATCACCATTTGATTTGGTGTCATTTTTGGAAAAAAAAAATTTTTTTTTTTTTTTTTTTTTTTTTGTGGACCTGGGGTTTGAACTCAGGGCTTCATGCTTGCTAGGTAGGTGCTCTACTGCTTGAGCCATGCTGCCAGCCACATTGTATTCCACACTTCTCTGTCCTCTTTCCTAAACTTCTTTACTGTTTTTTTTTAAGTATTTTTCTGTATGCTCTTTAGAGAACACATGCCACCTGGCTCTGGGAATGACACAGGTGGGCTTTGATGGACTTAAAGCTCATGTGCCTATCTTTTTGTAATCCTAGTTAGTTAGAAATTCTCATTTAAAAATTAGCTTCATATAGCTAGCTCAAAATTTTATTGCAGAACAACCAGAAGAGTGGATTTATCCTGGCCTATTGTCACATTTAGGTAAGGATACCTTGAACAGTAGGTGACTGATGCACCTTTTCAGTTTAAAAAGTTGTGGATAAAGATTCAAGAGATGAGACTTGAATCTAGTTCAGGTTTTATCAGGTTACTATCAGAAATGAAAAAATCCAGACCTCTGTTGTCTCAGGCAGATTTGTGAAGAGAAGGTTACTGTTGTAGGGCAAGCGCCATGGCACACCATGGGCATGCACCCAGTGTACACGTGCATGGGTTTCCTTCCACAGGTGTGTACATTCTTGCACTCGTATACAGGTATACATGCACACCCACATATTCACGCGAGCATGCATAGATCTCACTCGTGTACTCATGCACATGTACATGATAGACATTCGACAGTTCATTGGAACCAAGCCAGCACAAAAAGTAAACAGTACTGTACTTATAACTTATAGGCACTTTTTATTTTTATCATTTGAAACCGTTGTGAATATCTGGTTCATTTTCTTTAGAAAGAAAAATTTGCTGGTGCTTCAGAGGAGGCGGTCTCTGTTCAGAGAAGTATGCAAGGTATGTCTTACTAAACTATGAGCAGATCATTTTAGGGTGTGTCCTCCTGGCTAGCTTCAGGAGTGCACAGAATAAACGCTGCCTGTAGTCAAATCTCACAATCCTGGAAGTTTTCCAGCGCCCAGGAATACTACATGCCATTGGCTTCCCAGAACCTCAGACTCCCAATTCATTCTTTCTTTTGACTTAGGCTTGTTCCATATTAAAATGTAAGTATTCCTTGGAAAAGTATTATCTTAGGCTTTTGACATGGATAACTTGGTTGAGTTTTTATTGTAAGGAGGAGAGAGATGCATGGGAAAGGAATGAAGGGCCCGCCAGATGTATAGATGTGGAGAGGCAGCACAACTTCAGGCTTCCTTAGAGTCCTGTGCAGCTGTGTAGTTTATACTGGGACTTGTCAGTGTTCTTGTGTGCTAGATCTCACAAGCATATAATTCTGTTAGGTTGGAAATTAGTCAAATTCTATGTGGCCTGTTAAGTATGAAATACATTAAACTTTTAACTTTATCCTAAATAGAAACAGTAAATAAATTACACCAAAAGGAGGAAGAATTTAACATGCTGTCTTCTGAATTGGAGAAGCTGAGAGAAAATTTATCAGGTAAGGAGATGTCTCTGGTGATTAATCATTAAATATAGTAGGTTTCCTGAAATTTGATATAGTTGTGTATTAGAATAACCTATCTACTATTCATTCTTAGCCTCTCTACTCATTATGGTTATGTAATGTGATGAAATACTCATTTGAGATCTGTAACCCTCAGAATGTCCTCTTTGCTGTTTTCAAAAGAGCCACAATTCAACACATGCTAGCACTTCTGCGCTTCTACATCCAGGCTAGAACTGTCTTTCATATGAATGGCCTTCACAGCTGACACTCAATTCCTGCTTCTATCCTTGTCCCCTTCTTTCTGTTTCAACACAGCAGCCAAAGAGTGATTTTTTTTTTTTTTTTTACTTTGAGACAGGGGCTCGCTATGTAGTTTATGTTGGCTTTGCATTCTTAATTCTCTGCCTAAGATTGTCCAGTGGCTCCCGTTTTACTTACTAAAAGCTATAGTCTAATTAATGAATGAATTAATTGTTGTGGTATGGGGTTTGAACTCAGGGCCTCTTGCTTGCTAGGCAAGCCCTGTACCTCTTGAGCCAAGCCTCCAGCCCCATGAAAGCCCCATCACCCTCAGGATTTCATGTCAGACTTTCCTTCCTCTCTCTCATTCCACTTTGGCCACATCTCCTTCCTTGCTGATACAGGATGTGTCAAGCACATTCCTGCCTCGAAGCCTTTGCACTTGCCTTTCTCTCTTCCCTCCTTTGTTTCAGGTCTTAAATGTACCATCTCAAGGAGGCCTCGTCTAAGATCTTAATCTTCCCCAACTCCTTCCCTACTTTCACTTTTCCCCTCTTAGCACTTACCTCTATCTCTTATTCTTTTCTTTATCCTGTTTTTTTGTCCATCTTCTTTGCTAGAGTACAATTTCTTGAGAGCAGGGATTGCTATTTGCAGATGTCCCTAGGACAAGGATGTAGTCAATACAGTTTTTTTTTTTTTTTGTGGTACTGGGGCTTGAACTCAGGGTCTTCATCTTGAGCCACTCTGCCAGTCCTTATTGTGATGGGGTTTTTCGAGAGAGAGTCTCATGATCTATTTGCCTCGGCTGGCTTCAGACCACGATCCTCCTGATCTCTGCCTCCTGAGTAGCTAGGATTACAGGTGTGAACCACCAGTGCCTAGCCTAATACATGTTTTTTCTTTTTTTGCTCTTAACACTGCAGTGCTGTTTTTCCTCTATATTTTCAGATATGGAAGCAAAATTTAGAGAGAGGGATGAAAGAGAAGAGCAGTTGATGAAGGCAAAGGAAAAGTTGGAAAATGATATTGCAGAAATAATGAAGATGTCAGGAGATAATTCTTCTCAGCTGACAAAAATGAATGACGAATTGCGTCTGAAAGAAAGGTAGGTGAATGTGTTGAAGAGAGTACTTGTGGGCTGGGAGAGAGCTCAAGTGGTAGTGCTCCTGCCTAGCAAGTATGTGGCCCTGAGTTCAAACTCCAGTACTGCCAAAAAAATTAAAAGAAAGAGAGAATGCTTGCTTTAGATTAAGCTGTGTAGCAAGGTCTAGATGATTGGGACAAAAGGCTCGGGTTCTTCTGTATTACAGCTTCCTGTCTCTGTTCCTTTCTTTCTCATTTTTTTTCCTTCTTTCTCCCTTCCTTTTTTAAAATTTTATAGTGCTGAGGGTCAAACCCAGGGCCTTGCATATTTGAAGCAAGCATTCTACCACGGAGCTAAGCTACACTCCAGTCCCCCAGTTCCTCAGTTCCTTTCTATTAGTGCCTCAGTATGTCCTTGAATCAATTGTTTAACCTTCTAAAATGGACTTTGTCTATCTCACTTGTCAGATGGATGGAGTAAAGGAATATACTGCTATTCACAGACCTTTTTGGTGACTTTTTTTTTTGTGTGTGTGGAGTGGAGGCTGATGGTACTGGAGTTTGAATTCAGGATCTGGAGGTTGGTAGATAGGCACCCTACCCCTTCCAGCAGAAAATTTTTAACTTGAGTGTAATGATAGGTAAACCTACTAAGCGCTCACTATGATATGGAGTATATTTTCTGCTATTCATTCTAATCCTGTGACATGAGTGTAATATGATTCCCATATTATCCACACTTCCAGTTGATTTTGCTCTGGTTATGGAGGTGGGGGTCCCATGAAGTATTTGCCCAGGCTGACCTCAAACTGTGATCCTCCCGATCTAGCCATGGTTCAAGTGGTAGAATACCTGCTTTGCAAATGCAAAGCCCTGAGCTCAAACCTCAGTCCCACCAAAAAAAAAAAAAAAAAAAAAAAAAAAGAGAGAGAGGCTCATTGTAATTTTTTGTGTTTTCTTTTCTCAAGAGGTGTTTGAATGACTTTGGTAATCTAGTCTGTTGAAATTTTGAAACTCATTTCCTCTATTTTGTTTTGTTTTATTTTATTTGTTTATTTATTTATCCTGTAGTGTGGGGTTTGAGCACAGGGCCTTGCATTTGCCAGGCAGGTGCTCTACTTCTTGAGCCTTGCCTCTAGCTTTTTTACTCTAGCTGTTTCACATCGGGTCTCACTTTTATGTCCAGGCCCACCTGGACCATGATCCTCCTACTTATTCTTGTTTTTTTTCTTTTTTTGGTGACACTGGGTTTAAACTTAGGGCCTCACGCTTGCTAGGCAGGCACTCTTACCACTTTGCCAGCCCCTCCTATTTATTTCTGTGTTGCTGGGATGGCAGGCATATACACCACACTTAAGTTTTTATCGGTTGAGATGGAGTACCACAAACTTATTGCCCAGGCTAGCCTTAAATCATGATCCTCCCAGTCTCTGCCTCCCCAGTAGATAGGATTACAGGTGTGAGGTACCCCACCTAGGATATTTATTTTTCTTGGTACTGGGGATTGAACCCAAGGCCTTTCACATATAAGCACTTTACTATTTATCGATGCCCTTAGCCCTCATTTCCTTTAAGACATTTGCTTGGCTCAACTGGTAGAGCACCTGCCTAGGAAGCATGAGACCCTGAGTTCAAACCCCAGTACCACCAAAAAGAAAAGAAAAAGGAATGCTCTCTTAATGTTTTTCCCTCATTTTTCCTTAGTGATCTATTAACATAAAATAATGAACCTCACCTATAAAATAGTTTTTACTCAAAATAATGTATTTATAATTATCACAATTGTTAAAATTATTCTTCAGGCAAGTGATCTTTTTAATCTGTCTTGATTTCGGGTGTTATTAACTAATCATAAATGTATATCATTAACATGATTGTTATTAACTGTATGTACATATATACATATATATATGTTTTGGCAGTACTGGAATTTAAACTCAGGGCCTTGCACTTGCTAGGCAGGTGTACTACCACCTACGAAATGCTACCAGCCCAAGTATATTTTTTGCTGGGCATGGTGGTACACTCTTATAATCCCAGCATCCAGGAGGCTGAGGCAAGAGGATAGTGACACCTGTCTCAATAAAAAATCAAAACAAAAATAGGGGGCTGGAGGAGTGGCTCAAGTGGTAGAGTGCCTGCTTTGCAAGCATGAGGGCCTGAGTTCAAACCCCAGTATCACCTAAAAAGAAAAAAAAAAGCCAAAAAGTATATTTCTACTATATATACCAGTGGGTTTTTTTGGTGGGATTGGGTTATTAAGCAGAGACTTTACTGCAGGTGAGCCATACCTCCAGTTCATTTTGTTCTGGTTATTTTGGAAATGGGGCCTTGCAAACTGCCCAGGCTGGCCTCAAACTGTAATCCTTCCAATCTCAGCCTCCCAAGTAGCTAGGATTACAGGTGTGATCAGGTGGTGTCTGACTCTATTATAATTATTAAATTTAAAACATTGTTATGATAAATCTGACACTGTGTATTGAAATTTGTTCTAGATGTGTAGAAGAATTAGAGCTAAAACTTACAAAGGCTAATGAAAATGCAAGTGTTCTGCAGAAAAATATTGGGGAAGTAACTCTTAAGGCTGAACAGAGCCAGCAGGAAGCAGCTAAAAAGCACCAGGAAGAAAAGAGAGAACTAGAGGAAAAACTGTTGGACATGGTAAGGAGGGAGTAAATGGGACTGTTTGCCACAAGGAGGGCAGGGTGGCCATATATGGCCAGGTGATTTACTCCTTTCCTTGTGGTGTCTGCAGGAAAAGAAGATGGAAATGAACCACAACCAGTGTCAGGATCTGAAAGCCAGGTTTGAAAAAGCCAGTTCTGAGACAAAAACTAAGCATGAAGAAATCCTACAGAACCTACAGAAGATACTGTTGGAGACGGAGGAGAAGCTGAGGGCTGCCCAGGACGAGAACAGAGACTTGATGCAAAAGATGGAAGAACTAAAAACACAAGCTGACAAAGCCAAAGTATGTTCCGGGGGACAAATGATGCAGTTGTATTACACCTTGCTTACCTTGGCTTCTGTGCCAAGCCTGCCAGGGAGCTTAGATAGTAGCAGCAAACGGGACACGTTGAGTGGGCCCTCACAAATGTTAACCTCTGTGTACATGGTGATGAATTGCATTTCTGTGGCCTCAAGTGTTTGGTGCCAGCTGCACTTCCTTCTCAGGGATGGTGATGGCTACAGACCTTTCCCCTAAGTGTATTGAGTAGCCATCACCACCCCTAGTGCTCCTTGTTCCCAGCTGTCACAAACCCTTTTGTGCTGCCTGAGCTCTTATCTGCCTGCTTGCAGTAGACTATCGTGTGGGTAAGGATATCCTCTAATCTTGGCCAAGCCTGCTGTCACATTCACTGGGTTTAGGAAAGAAGCTGTAGAAAAAGCAGGAGTCAGAGGCTAAGGGAAGCTAGCGAGTCAGAGCTGGAGAGCGCCTACGGGCTGGAGAGCTGGATGAACAGAGCTTTTGTAGGAGTTCAAAGTGAGAACTGTGGAGAGGACTCTGAGCTTTTATCAACAAGGAAGCTGGGCTCAGGGGCCCAAGGAAATACCTTTTTATTGAAAGAACTTGATGTGCTGGATTTCAGTTTGTGCTATCAGGATTGTATTTATGCCCCAATATATTTTTTGACTCTGGTAACTTAATGAAGTTCAACTTCCTAGTGCTAATTAACTTTTTATTGCTCAAAGAAAATACTTCTTTATTTATTTTTGATGTATTACAGAAATATTTGTATAATTTAGTAGAAAGAAATTGTGAAAGAGAACTTGAAACCAACTCCACTAAAAACCTTCTGTTAGGGCTGGGATGTAGCTCAGCTGTAGAGTGCTTGCTAGTATGAGCAAGGCCCTGGGTTCTGCTCTCAGCAGCCCTCACTGCCCCAACCTCCTGTTAACCAAGTGTGCCTTGACATAGTGCACGTCAAATATGAAAGACTACAGCTTCCCTCTTCCGTGTGTTGGCAGTCAGGGCTTTCTCTTCTCTCTAATTCCATAAGCCATTTAATACTGGATATGATTTCCAGATCTTTTGGGTGTGTTGTTCCCTTCATCTGGACAGATTCCAATTTTATAGTGTTACCTTTAAACTATTGCAGCCTGACCAAACCACAGCATTTGTTGTTTATGTGAGGTCTCACTAATTTAGTTTGGTGGTTTCATGTAAGAGTCATTTCGTTAAAAGGCCAGAGTTTTTATTTGGATATTTGATTTTAGTGGATTTTAATGAGTTACAGACCCTGGCGAATCCAGTAAAACCTAAGGCTGTTATCCTTGGGAAGTTTACCTATGCAATAGTCAACAAATTTTATACATTATTTCATAAGGTCACAGGGCGTGGCTTAGGAACCAGTGACCTGTAGCTCTGCTGTCCAGTACAGTAACCACCAGCACCATGAGGCCATTTAAATTTACATTTGTTACATCTTTAAAACTGCAAATTTAGCTCTTCAGTTGCATTCATCACTTTTTAAGTGCTTGGTAGTCATGTAGCTACTATATGGGATAGTCAAATGTAAACATTTACTTTTTTTTTTTTTTTTGGTAGTACTGGGGCTTGAATTTATCGTCTATACCTTGAGCCACTCCACCAGCCCTTTTTTGGGATTTTTTTTTTTTGAGATAGAGTTTCACAACTGTTTGCCAGGAGCTGGCTTTGAACCTCCATCCTTCTGATCTCTGCTTCCTGAGTAGCTAGGATGATAGGCGTGAGCCACCGACTCCCAGTTAAATATTTATATCATTGCAGAAAGTTCTAGACAGTGGCATTGTAGACACTGCGTTAAATTATCTTATAAACCAATACATTTTTTTAAAAACCTGTCCATTTTAGTCACCAAAACCTAGAAATTATTCTATATTTAATTATGTCCAAATGTTACACACACATACATATACACATTTATATGCTTATATACATACATATATATTATACTAGAACTAAATCACTCTGAGCCCAGTAACTGTCCTTTTATTAAGTAAGTACTTAATAAGCAGTGGTTTATTTGTTTATTTTCCCTTGTTTTTCCTCCCCTCCCCCTTTTTGTTAATATATCCTCAATTTTGGTAGTTTTTTGATTTATTTATTTATTTTTTGGTGCTGAAGTTGAACCAAGGGTTTTTCACATGCTAAGCATGTGCTATAACCAGCACATGCTTATTTTGAAAAATTCTTCTATGAATCTTTTCTATAGTGGAAATGAAATAATAGGATAATTGGAATGGCAGGAGAGAATCTTTTGTCCAGATGTTAAAATCAAGCTAGTGTTTTTATCTTGTACAGAGCTATCGGAAATAATTTCATAAGTTGTTTCAAAGATAAAACAAGCTAGTAAGCACTTTGCAAAGCTAAATTTGCTTTGTATATCCCTCTAGGGGCTCCATTTCCCTAGTTTCTTCCCCTTGTTATTCACATAGTTTCTCTGAAGTTTCTTACAACAAAATTTAAACTTTTACAATTTAGGCTAGATTAAGTTATTTGGGCTTGCATTTGTCTGCTTGATTTCATTCTGTTTCCATTCTTTCCATCTTTTGTTTCTGTAGTCGCTAACTTATTTGTTAACATCAGCCAAAAAAGAAATTGAACTAATGTCAGAAGAGCTGAGGGGTCTCAGATCAGAGAAGCAGCTTCTTGCACAGGAAGGAAATGCTTTAAAGTTAGAAAAAGGTTCACTTTTATCAAAGCTTATGGAAGTGGAGGCCAAAATAACTTTGCTTCAGGAAGACCAGCAGAAACTATGGTCATTAAATGAATTGCTCAGTTTAGAGAAGGAGAAAGTCTTAGAAGAAAAACAGAATGCTGAAAAGCTTTACCAGCAGGAACATCTTGATAGAGAAGCTTTGACCATAGAGAGAGAGAAGCTGCTTCAAGAAATCAGTGCAGCACAGGAAGAGCTCTTGAGGATACATGTGGAAAATGACTCCCTGCAAGCATCCAAGGCCAGCACACAGGCAGTTGTTGAGGAGCTCCAGTTCCACAGTGACACTCTGATGGCTGCATCTGAGAAGGCTCGGGCAGAAAAAGACCAGCTGGAGGATCAGATCAAGAAGCTTACTGCCGAAAACCTCATCTTGGCAAAAGACAAGGACGACATCATTCAGAAGCTTCAGAGTGCTTACGAGGAACTTGTGAAGGATCAGAAAGCCTTGGTTGAGGAGATTGAGGAGCTCACAACTGAAAAGAAGTCAGCAGAAGAGAAACAGTCAAGCCTCGATAACATGTGCCTGGCCCTAAAGGCAGAACGAGAGAGCCTTCTCCAGAGCAACAGAGACCTGCAGTTTGAGAAGGACATTCTGTGTCAGGGTCAGGAGAAACTGAGTGCCAGCCTGGAGGCTGCCTTGCAGGTCAAGCAGTTGCTCAGCACGGAAGCTGGGTCAATGCGCACACAGCTGGATTGTACCAAGAAAGCACTGAAGAAGGCGGAGCTGGAGACAAGGCAGCTTCAGACCTCCAATGCAAGCCTCACAAAGCTCCTGGAAGAGATTAAGGCCAGTCGAGCAATCACAGACTCTGAGTGTATCCAGCTTCTCCATGAGAAGGAGACCCTGGCCACTTCTGAGAGGAGGCTCCTGGCTGAGAAAGAAGAGCTTTTAAGTGAAAATAGGATCATCACTGAAAAACTCAACAAGAGCTTTGAAGAGGCTGCCCATCTTGAGATGAACCTGAACGAGAAGATCACGTACCTAACTTCTGAGAAGGAGATGGCTTGCCAGAAAATTACTAAGCTTAAAAAGCAGCAGGATAGTCTCTTGAATGAAAAGTCAGCACTGGAAGTGCAAAATGGAGATTTACTTGTAGAGAGAGAAAATTCCATCAAAGCTTTAGGAGACCTTAAAAGGAAATATGATCAGGAGGCTGCAAACAGAAGAATACTTGTACATGAGAAGATGAAACTGCTTGGTAATATTGATGCTCTGAAGAAAGAACTTCAGGAGAGAAAACAGGAAAATGAAGAGCTGACAGCCAGCAAGTGTGACCTCTCTTTGATGCTGAAAGAGGCTCAAAATGCCAAAAAGAACCTCGAAAAAGAACACACCAACATGTTGCAAGCAAAGGAGAGTTTGGATGCTGAGCTTAAGACTTGTTGTTGTGAAAAGAACATTTTGCTGAGGGATGGCTTGAACCTTCAAGAAGAGTGTAAGAAATTAAATGAAGAGATTCATAAAATGCAGCAGTCCTTAATCCTGGAAAAAGAGGTCAGAGCGAAGGAAAATGAGTCATCCTTATATGAAAACAATAAGCTTCAAGGAAGAACAGTGCTCCTGGAGCAGGAGCTGGAGGGATTAAGAGAGTGTACTGAGCAGCTCCGGTCTGAAAATTTTGTACTAATCCAAGAGAAGACTAAATCGGAGCAAAGAGTGGTAGAAATAATTAAGGAAAAGGAACTGTTGAGTGCGGAAACAGCTCACCTTGCTGCCAACATAGAGACCCTAAAAGGCGACTTTGCTGCCCTGTCCAAGTCCAAGTTGGAACTGCAGGAATTACATAGCTGCCTCACCAAGATCCTGGATGACCTTCGGCTGAATCACGAAGTGGCTGTGGCTGAGCGATCCAAGGTGCTGCAGGAGAACAAGAACCTCCTGACTGAGAAAAGAGAGATGATGCTGAGAAGTGATGAGCTCCTGAAGGAGAAGCAGAAGCTGGAAGAAAGCTACTTCCTCCTCCAGAAAGAAATTAGTCAGCTGGCCAAAACCAACAGCCACATTTCAGCCAACCTCCTAGAATCTCAAAGTGAAAACCGTACTTTGAGGAAAGACAAGAGCAAGCTTACCTTTAAAATTAGAGAGCTTGAGACTCTTCATTCATTTACGGTAAAGTGAGAGGTTCAAGTATTGAGCACCCGGGACTACTTACTAACCCTGTGCACTAACAGTTACTGGCTTAGGTGATTTTCTTCATTGCTCCTTATGGAAATCCACCCAATTAAATCAGTTGCTTATATGTCTCCAGCTATTCATTACAGTCTGAAAGGGTGATTCTTTACTAAATGTCTAATTGCAGTAGTCTCTCCCCATTTGGAAAAAATTGCAAACTGTGAATAAAAAAGATTTATTTTTTTTAATTTAAGGAGAAACTTTGTGCAAAAGTTAACTGGTTGTTAAAAGCTTGAGGGCAATAATAGAATGGGCAGCATTGAAGTACTGTATTCTGCTGTTAGGCTTTTAACTGTTTCATTGTGTCTATCTTTTTGGAGTTGGAAGATTCCACTGAAATCTCCATGGCTGGTAATAGGGTAGGTATAACCCAGAGTTCTCATAAACTTTATTACATACACCAAATGAAATTGTAAGCAAGTGCTTAGATTTTATTTTTACAGTTATTGTTTTTGATTTTTTTAGCAGTCAGTATGCATTGTCTCTATATTCATCTTTTTTATTCACAGCCACAATTATATTCATTCCCCACAGTTTCTCTCATAGACTTTTCCATGAAATACTTCTTAGGAAACACTTGAGCCTTATAATTGCCCAAATAATTTATATTTTTATGTGAAAAATTATCAGCCTAAATTGAGTGATTTCAAAAGCCCCAAATTTGCAGTAGCAAGAATAATGTTTGAAACTTACAAATGTGATTGAGACATGGAGCTATGTAGGGACATTACTCTTTGTTGTCACTAATTAGTCTGTCAAGTATAAGTCAATGATGAGAGCAAGCTTGGAGCTGAGATGGAGGTTTAGAGGGATGTGAAAATAAGGAAATGGTGTAATAATTGACTTATTGAACAATGTCATAGGAATAGGAACCCTTCATGTCTTGGTTTGTTTGCTTTAGGGTTGGTTTGCTGACTCTCATCCTTATGTGCGTTCCCTTAGCCATGTAGACACTGAATGCTGCCTGAGCAGCACAGACTGATTGTCACCTGATGTCCTCAGAGAGGGTACCCTCCTTCCTCACGGTGTTTTCTCATGCTTAGGCTGCTCAGACTGCAGAAGATGCCATGCAGATGATGGAACAGATGACCAAAGAGAAGACCGAAACTCTGGCCTCCTTGGAGGACACCAAGCAAACAAATGCAAAACTGCAGACCGAAGTAATCAGATTTAAATGGTTTTTTTATACAAAGAACAGCTTATCGACTTCGTGGAATGTTTGATCACTGACTCAGGATTGTGTATTTTTTTTCATGTGTGGACTCATACAAGTCTGAACTGTGTTAGTAGGGTCAGATGTACACCACAGCCATGATAATGTTAGAGTATTACTTCATTACTTAGTAGGACCAACCTTTAAGAGTTGATGGAGAAACCTGAGTAGTGTGACTTTCTAAAATAACTAGAGGGAAGAGATGCTGATGGCATTCCTGGATTTTATATCCTTTGTCTTGTATCACACACTTTTTTCCTCTACTCTTTCCCAACTTGAAGCCGCTAAATTCCAATCCCCAGCTGTGAGCTTGATGTAGGCCTTTTCTTGGCGTAGTTCAATACTGATTCCTTTTTATGTCATCTTGAATTAGTTACCTCTGGAGCTGGGACAAACTTTTTGGCATGAAGATATTTTGATTCAATCCACAAGTAGCACTTCTCCTTCTTGGACCCTTCACTGATTCTCTTCTTTCCCCCTTCCCAGCTCATAATAACCCTTTTCCCCTTGGAAAGCTGCTACCTAAGTTCCTAGCAGACTGACTCACTGAAATGGGTGTGTGAAGTTCTGTACAACTTCAGGTGCTTTTTAAAGTCACAGGCAGGTAAGAAATAGGTTAAGAAGTAGAGCAAGGGAAGGGACAGCCAAACAGGATAACTACTATGAAGACTAAGCCTCCTTGTGCCAGGCAAATGATCAAGGTTAACCAAGGCATGACATTTTGAGGTAATTACAGGTGAAACAAAATCTGCATAGAGAGGGGTACACTCTTAGGACTGACAATCCTAAGAGAAACAAATTAAAAATAGAGAAGCATTAAAAAATCACAGAAGATAATCAAAATTAAGAGCCAGAATAAATAAGATTTTAGAAAATGTCTCTAACCTTTGAAGATAGAATCAGGGAGAATCGTGTCTGCCTCATAATAGATCCTGTGGTATATCTTTTGTAGCCAGATCACAAGACTAGATGAACCATGTCTTGGGCCCATTGTGCTGTTTTGTTTTTCATAAATCTGAAATATTCAAAAGGAAGTTGGTACATTAAACTAACAAGACACCTTCTGGATTCTTGGCTGGTGGCATATGAGAGAGATACGTTTTCTGGCTATAGGAGATAAAGACACAAATCCCAAAGTGCCAGCCTGGCCCCAGGATCACACCCTGTGTCACGGATGTCCTATATGAACACCCATCCTTGGTGGGGGCTCCATACCCCAGAAATCCAGCCACCTACCAGAGCACGTGATCCTTTATATTCACTCATTCCCATAACATGCCTGGATTTCCCACTGGGAGCAAGGCCCTAAGCTAGCTGTATCCATATGGGTAGAGATGGGGTTGTGTGTGACTGCCCTTCAGTCTCACTGTGTGGCTTCTTCCCCTTCATGTTAAGGTTCAAATGGATAAGTAAATTCTTTCCAGTCAAGTATGTTGCTTCAAATAAGTAATTTTTGTAATGAAGATTATGTAAATTCACTACTCACATTACTAATCCTGCATAGAGTTACTAATCTGTGAAAGGAAAGAGGTCTTGTTTGATTACAGAGACTAATCCTTGCTGATGTTATTGCCTTGCACCTTATTTCTTGCTTTTTGAAGGCGGATCATTTTGAATAGCAAGCTCAGTGATAAGTACTGAGAATCCTACACAAGATTAAAAAAAAACCTTTGTTTTAGTTTATGTAGCAATTTAGTTTGACATTTTGGCCAAATGTATAGGAAATGAGAGGCTAAATGTAAGGAAGAGACTTGCATTTCATAATAGATTTGTCATTTGTAATCTCTTCACCCAGGAGACCTCCCCCCCTTTTCTTTTTTACAAGTGACTAATTTCATCTATTTTTAGATAGAATCATTCTCATGAATAATTATCTATCCAGCCATGTCATTGGAGATGAAATAAATTCATCAAGTTTTTTTCTCTTGGTCTTTAAGTTGGACACACTAAAAGAAAACAACTTGAAAAATGTGGAAGAGCTGAACAAATCAAAAGAACTTCTGACTGTAGAAAATCAGAAAATGGAAGAATTCAGGAAAGAAATGTAAGTTTATCTCCTTCAAGAGAAATTATGTAACTGATTTCTTTTTGGTTTTTTTTTTTTTTTTGGCATGGTAGTGGCATTTGAACTTTGGGCTCTGTACCTGCTAGGCAGGTGCTGTATCACTTGAGCCAATCCTCCAGCCCTGTGACTTACTTTAAATTACAGAAAGGAAAATAATGCCAATTATCTTCACATATTTGCGAATTACTCACAGCAACAAAAAGAGTTGCCTTCCTGTACTCCAAATGCTATTGCTTCCCCCACATGCAAACTCAGTAGCATCTTTTAAGTCAGAATTGCAGCTAAGTTAAAGGCTTAAAGAGCACTGCATGCTGGCTGATGAGTGAGGACATTGGGATTCAAATGCTGTGAAGATACAAGTAGAGGCTTAGTACATTTGCATGATAGCCAATCTTAGCCTTTAGAGCCATTAGACCCTGTATTAATAAATCTTTCTATAGGAAAAACTCTGTTGCAGGGAAGACCCCTAGCATTTCAAGCTCAAGATTTTCAGTATCTTGATTTCAAGAATAATCAAATCATATGATGAATTAGATGAATTTAGATGAATTAGAAGTTAGGATTTAGCTGAACATGGTGGTATATGCCTGTAATCCCAGCACTGGGGAGGCTGAGGCAGAAGGATTGTGAGTTTGAAGCCAGTCTTTGCTACATATCAAGGCCTTGTTTCAAAAACCAAAAATGTGAGCAAATGAATGAATGGATGGATGGATGGGTGGGTGGGTGGGTGGATGGATGGGTGGATGGATGGGGGGTGGATGGGTGGATGGTGGGTGGATGGATGGATGGATGGTGGGTGGATGGATGGGTGGATGGATGGATGGATAGATGGGTGGATGGGTGGGTGGATGGGTGGATGGATGGGTGGATGGATGGATTGGGTGGATGGATGGGGGATGGATTGGGTGGATGGATTGGGTGGATGGATGGGGGGTGGGTGGGTGGATAGATAAGGGTTTTCTCATCATCCTACTGCTCCATTTCACAAAGACTGTTTACATTTCCTTTGGTGACACTAACCTAAGCCCTTGCTTTTTTTTTTTTCTTTTTCTTTTTTTTTCAGCACGGGGTTTGAACTCAGGACCTCATGCTTGCTAGGCAGGCACTCATACCATTTGACCCACTCTGCCATCCCAAACCTTTGACTTTCAAGTTTGGAAGTTTGGTTATTGTAGTTATCAGAGAATGGTATATATGTGGCACTTTAAGTTATGGTTACAGCATAGATTTCATTCTTCTGCTTTCGTGTGTGTGTGTGTGTGTGTGTGTGTGTGTGTGTGTGTGTGGTGCTGGGGTTGAACTTTAGGGTTTTGTGCTTGGAAGGAGGTGCCCTGCTGCTTGAGCCTCACCTCCATCCTTTGGTCTTTTGCTTTATGAGAACACTGTATCAGCTGTATGAACATAAAAATCCCGAGCCAGTTAGTCTGGTGAATATATGAGTGTGTTCTTCTTGCCACGTACTAGGAAGGATGCACAGAAAAATTATGTGTAATGGCTTTCCTTCAAGTGTTTATATCTCTTATTTCTAATTATAATAAAGTAAATACATGAGATTCAAACAGAAATAAAAGCTTCAGTTCCAAGCTGCTTTTTCTAAATCGTCATTCTCAATATATTTGTTCCTCAAGCTTGGATTAAGCTAGTATATGTCTCGTTCTTCTGAGAGTTCTTCAGATTCTGCTAGGAATAGTTGGATGTGCACTCCTTGGTAAAGGAGATGCCCAGCCATGCTGCTGCTGATTAATTCCCTTCCTCCAGCTCAGTATTAATTATGTTCCCCTAGATTATGTTTTAATGGTTCCCAAAATTTCATCTACACAGACATAGAAATTTACAGTTGTGGTCATGGCCATTGGTTAGAGTTTTAAAGTTGACCTACCAAAGCCAAATACGCGACTAGGGGCTGTGGAGTAGCTCAAGTGGTAGAGCATCTACTTAGCAAATGTGAGGCCCTGAGTTCAAGCCCCAGTGCTGCTAAAAGAAAAGAAAAGAGAATGAATTCAATTATACAAATAGGTAATTGGTCACTGTGATAGAAAAAATAAATTCAGTGTTTGAAAATAACAATTTAGGCCAGGCACCAGTGGCTCACATTTGTAATCTTAGCTACTTAGGAGGCAGAGATCAGGAGGATGGATCTGGGTTCAAGGCCAGTCCATGCAAATAATTCATGAGACCTATCTCAGAAACCCATCACAAAAAAAGGGCCGGTGGGGAAAAAAAAAGGCTGGTGGGGTGGCTCAAGGTGTAGACCCTGAGATCAAGCCCCAGTACTGCAAAAAAAGAAAATAATAACTTAAATCCAGGTGAAGCAGTTTACCTTTGTAATCCCAATAAACAGGATTCTGAGGCAGGAAGATCACAAGTTCAAGGCCAACTTGAGCTATATAATGCAACCCTGTCTTTAAAAAAAAAAAAACTGAAAAGAAAAAAGAAGAGCTTAGTTATATTTAGAGAGGGTAGGTTGGAATACAATTTAGGATTTTTTTTCTCTGTGACACAAGTAGTTATGCTAACCAGGAGCACTTGCAACACTAAGTTGACTTTAGTTCACTTGTGTCACACAGGCATCTGATGAGGGTGGATGTGAGCAGCAGAAGATCCCCTCACCAACCTCCCACTGCCATAGTACCACTCCTGAGCTCTCTCGGCCGCACTAGGTAATGGACAGGGCCACAGTGGATCTATCCAAGAGAGCTCTTGGGATTTAGATAACATTCCTGCAGTGCTTCTTGGGAGTCTTGTAATGGTCATTTTATCAGTCTGATCTTAGAGAGGTCACCATTAATTTTCAGAGACCTCACTAGATCCTGCCATGTTACCCACGCCAGTTAGTGTGGGATTGGCTTCACCCCTACAAAGAGATACATTGTTACTGGAACTCAGAAGTGTAGTGCATACTTGGTACTTGTAAGGTCCTATATTCAATCCCCAGTATCAGAGAGAGAGAAGGAGGGAGGAAGAGAGGGGAAGAGGGAAGGAAGAAGGAGCAGGGAGAGATTATCTTTGTGCCTTGTTTCATGTCTGTGGAAGCAAAGATTTTCATGGGAATAAAAATCTTTGGCCCCAGCTGCTGTTAAGGTAACTGGAGCCTATCCTTCTTCCTGCTTTTTGGGAGATAGTTCAGCTAAGGGAGAAACAGACCCAGGCCAGATCTAGCTGGGCTGCTTTAGATTCTCTACCTTCTTTTTTCCCCACCAGTCCTGAGGGCATCCCATCTTCCTGCCAGTGACTGGGCACTCTATGGCAGATGGCAGCTTTCCACAGAAACTGGTGGAGGGAGCCTAGAGGAGCTTGTTGAAGGACCATCCGCTGTCAAAGGACTGTGTGATGGAAACAGCTTCTCAGAACATTGCAGTTGTTTTGTGCTCCTTAGTGCATTCCTCTGTGCCTGCAGCTGGAGAATGAGCAGCTGCTTGTTTCTTGTAGCTTATTGTTTGCATAGAGTTCTTCATGTCCTCTGGAGCTGTTTTGGTGCCCCACAACCACAGCACTGCACTTCCTTGGTGGGTGCGTGTGGGTGGGGGAGTGCCTATGTATCCTGGAGGTTCTAGTAGGAGCTCCCTTCTGTAGAATATTGCCCTTGCCACTGGAAGCCAGCACGTGAGACCCAGTGTTCTTTCCCTTCGTGCTACTTCCTACACCAGCTTTAGGAGAGTTGTTGGTTTTGATTAACCAGCTGTTTTTAGCTGGAGAGTGACAGTCATGTGGTCTCTTGCTGGTGTATACCTTCAGAACTTAGGGAAAATGATATAAACAATCTTTAATTTTATATGCCTTGCTTAGTAATAAACTGGAATATACTTACCATGATAATTAATAGATTTATGAAGGAATCCAAGTTAATATCTGCAGTGTTTATCTCTCAGTTTAAATACAGTCCCCCTCCCCAGGATATATCTTGTGGAATGCAAAGAAAAGTAACTTCTTTAAAAATTACTAGAGGGAGCCAACTGCTGGTGGCTCACACCTGTAATCCTCTCAGGAGGGAGAGATCAGGAGGATCATGGTTTGAAGCCAGCCCCAGGCAAATAGTTCACAAGACCCTATTTCAAAAAAACCTATCACAGAAAAGGGCTGGTGTAGGTCTCAAGGTGCAGGTCCTGAGTTCAAATCCCAGTACCACAAAAAAAAAAAAAACCCTAGGGTTAGGGATGTAGCTCAGTGGTAAAGTGCTTGCCTAGCATGTGCAAGGCCCTGGGTTTGATCTCCAACACTGCAAAAAAGACAGAAAGAAAGAGGGGGGAGATGAGGAGGGAGGGAGGGAAGGGAAGTTGGGCAGGAACGAAGGAAGTTTTTGTTGTTCTTGTTGGTGGTACTGGGGATGGACGCCAGGACCTTAACCATGCTAGGCAAGCACTCTACTATTGAGCTATCTGCCCAGTCCCTACAAATATTTTTGCAGGTGTTCTCAGAACCATTCCTGAGTGCCTCAAGAATTGGAGCTGTAGAGGTCTTTTTCCTCCATGAAATGCTTGTCCCTACTCCCCACTGGAGACAAGCCGAAAACTGACTGCAGAATCCCAGCCAGTTATGACTCTACTGCTTACTGGCTTTATGATTTGGAGCAAATCTTTTGATCTCCTTCCTTCCTTCCTTCTTCCCTCCTTCCTTCTCCTTCCTTCTTTACTTCCTCCCTCCCGAATCCCTCCCTTCCTCACCCCTTCCCTTTTTGTCAATACTGAGGGGTTGAACTCAGGCCTGGTGCTTATCAGGCAAGTGCTTACCACTTGAGCCACACCCCCAAGACCCTTTTGTTTTTGTTATTTTTCAGATAGGGGCTCACTTTTATGCCTGTACCAGCCTGGACCACGATCCTCCTGTTTATATTTCCTGCAGAGCTGAAATGACAGGCACATGACAAACATGCGTGTCCCCAGCTTTTTTACTGGTTGAATTGTGGTCTTATGGAATTTTTGCCTATCTCCACCCCCTGAGGCTGTGCTCAACCCAGTTTTCTCATGTAAACATAAACATTAGCCTCCCTGCGCTTAAGGATTAAATGATAAAATGTACATGAAAGCATTTTTATAAATTTTGAAACATTAAATTTTCAACAACCTGCACGTTTATAGGTTGTTTAGCGTATTTTGGCCACTTTTGAAGAGCTTCATTGACTCCTTGTTTTAATTTTCCTTACTGGGAGGGCTTTTAAAGTAAACCAGGGTTAAAAAACTTGTAACAGACGATAATTGTCAAACAGAAGGGAGAGGAGCACAAATATCACTCTGACAGGCCACACTAATGCTGAGACTAAATAGCCTCTTTGAAGGCATTAACCACCTGAGAAGTAGTGTTTGGCTTATGGATTGTCAAGGATTAGTGGGCTTTGGCCAGACAGTGTTCTATAGCTGTGATGCTTGTGTGTGTGCACACGTGCGCACATATATGTATCTATGCACACACGTATAACATATGTATATGGATGGATGAATAGATTGATAGATCCACAATTAAAATCAGTCCTCCCAGCTTTTAGATGGCTAATTACCTGAGGCTAAAATTTCTTCCTAGTTTTTTCCACTTACTCAATAAACATTTCTGTAAAAAAGCCTAATTTACTGTGTTAAGAGAATTTTTGTGTAGATTTATCCCCTCAGATCTTTATGAGATCATCACACAATGCACATAATAGGTAGGTGGAGAATTTTTAAAAAATTGAGAAAATTGAGGATGCCGAGCACTGCGCAACCCATTAGACAATTGAGTTAAAAATAGATGTGTTCGTGCATCAACAGATGGATTCATACCCAGATGACTGGATTCAGAACTCAGCCATGTATGACAGATTGCTAAGTGGAGTTAAACCAGCACACTTACTTAAAATTCAAAATTGCATCAAAACCTTCTATGGCATAAAACTAAAATCCAGCAATCAAGTAAAATATTCTGAATATCAGTGTGTAAATGATAATAACTTAGAATATGCATTTTGGGTTAATTTTAATAATGGGAAGATGTTTAATAAATATGCCACCCTGTTCATATTTTATATATTGCTTATATTCATGATAGAGGTTATTTACTAAGCTGTATTTTTATTTGCTTCTTTTAATTACACGTCGGCATTGTGGAAAGATTATCATGAAAATAAAGTACCTGTATTTAATTAGAGAACTATGACCATTGGGCATCTCACCTCTAGTTGTCCTAAAGATATACTCAGATTTACATCAGCACTTAACTCTGACAGATGCTCATAAACGGGACCTTTGGATTTTTATTGCTGCCAGAGAGAAACAGATTACAGATCCACACAGCTAGTATAGAATGCTTGGCTGCAAATTAAATCATGTTATTAATGTAGTGGGTTTAGTATAATTATTTAGTGGAAATATTACACAAGACAAGGCTGTATTGACCATCTCATTTATCGTTTATTTTATAGCAAAATTCCTTTCTGTGTGGGGTAACTGTGGGTGGTGGGAGGGTGGTTGTACCATTTATTAGCTTTTACAAAATGTAGTAATTGTGGGCAGCCATCCTCCTCTTGAGAGATTAATGCCATGTGACCTCTCCATAATGTAGATAACCCTGTCTTTCATTGTTATAGATCCTATCAGGCACGTGACCCAAATCTATTTTCCTCAGTGCTGTGAAGCTGGTTGTCTCCCACAGTTTCCTTGCCTGTCTTGTTTCTATGGTAACCCTGCACTCACTGTCTTTGCAGAGAAACCCTAAAGCAGGCAGCAGCTCAGAAGTCCCAGCAGCTTTCAGCATTGCAAGAAGAGAACGTCAAACTTGCTGAGGAACTGGGGAGAAGCAGGGACGAAGTCACAAGTCATCAAAAGGTCAGTGGACCTTTGGTGGGGGTTTCTAGGTCTACCATGCTAATGTCTGCTGCTGTTTTTGGCTCACCTGGAGACTACTGAAGTCTGCTTATTGTGGTTGGGTCGTTCCAAATGGGATTTCACATTATGTGTGTTATGTGTCTCCTTTTTTTTAAGTATGGTGCTTTAGAATTTAGGGTAGGTTCACTAAACACGCACACACACACACACACACACACACACACACACATGCACACACCACTGGATCTTACAAGCAAGCAGAAAATAAGGTCCTTATTAGACAATCTCCTAGCAATGAATTTAAATGAAAAGGGATATTTGCCTATGTACCACTGCTTGGATTTCAAAATGACTTTTAAGATTTTTTCTCTTTTATTGGAATTGTTTTTAAGGAAACAGATTCTAAGAACATGGATTTAGTGTGAGGGTTGACAGTTGATTTTAAATAGAACTTTGTTTCTCTTTAAATTTAAAAAATGTTAAAGCTTTTCCCTAGTAGACCTATGAATATATGTGCACTCATGTGCTTTGATACATATGGAAAGTGGGTTATAACTATAATGAACCACAACCTGTTTGCTTGCATATTTAAGTCACAGAGGTTTCTGGCCGAAGTTAAGCGTGGGAACAGAATTGATTCTGCTTTGGACTTTTCTAACAGTTGAACCTAAGTTGATAGGTTGGTAGTCACATCCGACCCCAGAGCAGCAACTTGAAACTACATCTTTAAGACTTTTGCATTCTTGCTTCCTGCAAAGGGAACCTCCCACCCACCCCCATCCCCCATCATACGTTGCAAACATAGATTGTAACTTGGGATGGAATCGTTTGAAGTCACTGTGTTGAGTACTCATGGACATGGTGCAACTTGTTATGAAATTGCTTTTTGAAGACTTGATTTCGGACTTTAAGATCTTATTATAGTTTCCCAGAGTTTTCTCATTTCTTAAAAAGAAATGCCACATTCTCTAGACTCCAATATGATGCTGCTGCGGTTGGTTGATAGCAGCTAACTCATTGGCTCCTACTGTGCAGCAGGCACATGCAGGTGATACCTATCATCTCACTTAATCCCTACCAAAATTCTGTGTGATGGCACTCTTGTTATCCCTACTCGAAAAAGAGAAAATGAAGGCAAACAGAAGATAGTAAGTTGCTTTACATCATTAGCAAGTAATATCCATAGATGTTTGTCCTCTTCTGATTTTGGTCTGGAAGAGAATCAGAGGGTGAGAATCAGAGTGATGTTGGATCACTTCACTCTCCTTTGATCAGTATGTGAGAAATTGGGGTTCTTGACATTAAAAAGCCCTTTGACCTGAAGAGATTCATTCTTCCTAGCACTAGCTAGAGCATGTAGAACTTTTGGTCTCTGTGTCCACAAGGAGTTAGAAGAGTGGGAGTTTGGCAAAGTACTAAGTCTGTTCCCTTCTTGTTCTCTTTCATTGAACATCTCTGGTTGAGAGTAGATTCCATCAGTTGGAGGAACGCAAAGATTACCATTTCCCCTTATGTGTGACCTGATCTGGACTGATAATTACACTTCTTGTCTCTGTCACCTAGAAGAGGAAAGAGCTCATGAAACTTGACTTCTTGGGCAGAGGTTTTTAAGGGTCCTCTCCATCATAGCAGCTCTATTCTCTTCATAACAGGGATTTCAACTAGCTTTCTACTGAAAAGGTTTTGGGATTAACAGTTCAAAAATAAGTCATCTTTCAGGTGTTAGAAAATAGTGCCTACCAGGAACAACTGTGAAAGCAACTCATGCCATTTGTAGTTTTTTGTGTTTTATTCAGAAGTGACAAGCAGTTGTGAACCAAAACATGATAGTTTTGATGATGGAGATTCTTTGATTGATAGTGATTAACATCATTCTTGTTTTGATGTACATATTCCAAAGAATGCTATTTCAAATAACTTAGCTGGGCATGATGGCCATGACTATAATCCCAGCATTTGGGAGGCTGAGGCAGGAGGATCACAAGTTCAAGGCCAGTTGGTGCTATAGAGTGAGAACTTGTCTCAAAAATAAACTGATAAAAATAACTTAGAAGCAACCTTGGTTTATAGAAGATTGAGAATTCAGTAGGCTCTATCACTCTTACTGTATTATTCCAAGAATCTAGAGTGCTGTTTACTTCTGTAAAATTAGAAATTTTCACTTACTTGCTATAGTTAAGTCAAACTTTTCTTTTGGTGCTGGGGATAAAACCCAAGGCCTTTTTCATAAGTCAAACTATTGATCAACTCTGTTAAACTATATTATAGACAACTCTGTTAAACTATATTATAGAGCTACAGTGTTTGGCAGAAATGATTTTTTTAACAAAGAAAGAATTTCAATGTGTTACTATAGAAGTATTTAGTGTTTTATTCTAAACTTAAGATAGCGGAGACTAGATTGACATGGGATAGATAAATACTGCCTGAGGCCTGGTTCCTTTGTTTGATAGCACTATAATTCACTGGACAGTCACTGAGCTGAGCTGATCACCTTACATTGTTTTCTTTTTTTGTTTTGCAATATTGGGGTTTGAGCTTAGGGCCTTCATTCACCTTGAACCATTCCACCAGCCTTTTTTTTTTTTTTGCAATAGGTTTTTTTTGAGCTGGGGTCTCAAAAAACCTCATCCTCCTGATCGCTGCCTCCTGAGTAGCTAGGATTACAGGCGTGAGCCACTGGCGCTGGCGCCTTACATTCTTTTGGTGGCTTCATCATAACCTTCCTCTGAGACTGTGAGTCTGTTGTGCAGATGAGGAAGCAGAGGCTCCAATAATTATTATTGAGAATAATTATTCTCAAATAAGAGAATGTACTCTGAACTCTACTAGTGTTGTCTTTCTTCAGCTTCAAATGTGTATTTTTTGTAGAAGACTGAGTCATTCCAAAAGCTGTCTGCATCAGAAAGGTCTCACTGGGTTTGTTGGGAATGGAGTTTTACTTCCTTTGAGAAGCCTCCTTTGTTATGATGACAGCCGCTTCATTTCCTGTTGGTCATTTTTGCTTTACCTAGATAAATCTTTGTCAGAATTTCTCTACCAAGTTCTCAAGGGCCTTGGAAGCAAGGTTATTATTGAAATAAAAGAATCCCTGCCTGCCTTTGGCTATTCTTTTTTGTTGGTGGTGGGTTTTTGTTTTTGTTTTCAGTACTGTGGTTTTGAACTCAGGGCCTCACACTTGGTGGCAAAGTGTTCTACTGCTTGAACCATTCCTCTAGTCCTATTTTGTGTTGGATTTTTTCAAGGTAAGGTCTCATGAACTATTTGCCTGAGCTGACTTTGAACCGTGTTCTTCTTATCTGCCTCCCTAGTAGCTAGGATTCCTTTTGACTGGTTTTAGAACATTCTCTTTTTTTTTTTTTAGTGGTACTGGGGTTTGAACTCGGGGCTTTGTGCTTAGTAGGCAGGCACTGTACCACTTGAGCCACTCCACTAGCCCAGAACATTCTCTCTTTATCATCTTTAAGAGGTGATGAAGACTATCCTAAGAGATAATGAGCAGGGCTGCTTGTCAGGGTGGGCATGGCTTGAGTTGCTGCTCCTCATTAGAAAACCCACTTGGCATGACTGCCCAGGAACAGCGTGTGTCCCTGTAGAGGAGATAGTCCAGCATTGGGAGGGTCCTCCACTTGTTCAGGGGCCTCTGGGAAGGAGCTGGCCAAGCCAGTGTGCATCCTGTGTGGCCTGCTCTTCCTTTCCCTCCAGCGAAAATTCTCTTAACTCTCCCAAGTTGGGGGTTTCATTGTGAGGGGGGAGAGATTCAACAGCCAGAATCATTTAGAATTGTGGGTGAAGGAAGTATTTGACTTATCTAGCATTAACAATGACAGCATTCTTTATAAAATGTCACATAGAGTGTGTTGTCTTTTAAAAGAAACATAGTAGACTAGAGGCATGCTCAAGTGGGAGAGTACCTGCTTTGCTAGGGCAAAGCCCTGAGTTCAAACACCATACCACCAAAATAAATAAATGAGAATATAGGGCTGGAAGTGTGGCTCAGGTGGTAGAGTACCTACCTTCCAAGTGCAGAGTTCTTAGTTCAAACCCAGACCACCAAAATCCCCAAAAAAGAATATATTACATTGAACCATGAAATTGGTTTCATTTAGCAATTTACCAGTAGCCATAAACTTATCTTCTCCTGGTGATCGAAAATTTTTAAAGATTGTTATTAAAATTCCTATGGACTATTTGCCTTCCATTTAGTTTTCCATATAATGCCTTTGAGTGTTTCTTACTGACTAAGGTTGACTCTGTGCGTGTGTTAAAATATACATGAGTTTACTGTTTAACCATTTCAACAGTGCACAGTTCAGTGTCATTCATTGTACGCTGAAAATACACCTTTATTCAGTTCTAAAACATTTTCATCACCTCAGAGAAAACACCATGCCCATTAAACAACATTGCTCATTCCCTTCCTATAGCCCCTGGCAACCACCAGTCTCTCTGTATGTATAGATTTACCTATTCTGGTCATTCATATAAATGGAACCACATACTGTGTGGCTTTTTTGTGACTGCTTCTTTTATTTAGCATAATGTTTTTGAGGTTATCCATAGTGAAGCATATGTCAGTATTCCCTTTGTCTGTGCATGTGTGTATGTGTGATAGGATACTTAATTCATTTCTTTATGGATGGATAATATTTCATTAACTGGATATACCATATTTTGGTCATCCATTTGTATATGGTGTTGTATGCTCTCTCTCCATTCAGACTATACTAGTCCCCCTGATACCTGTAGTATCTGTTTTCTGCTTTTATTTTTCACACGTCCCATTTGCCTGATTCTCTACTGACTGCTGTTTGACACTAATATATTCCTGAAGTGACTCTTGCTAAAGTCATCACTTACCTAGTGATTACAAAATCAAATGGCTTCCTTTCTGTTCTTTATGAACTTTTGGCCCTGTCACCACCCATGTTTCCTGGCTTACCTCCTTGACTCCTTCCTCCTGATTTGCTCATATTTTTCCGGCATCCCTCTCTACCCGT